TTCCAACAGCTAATAAGCTCTGCAGGAGTGCAAAAAAAAGAACTGGCAAATATATGAAGATCTTTTGTGCCTGCTTTTAATGCACGCCGCCTTCCATCCGCGCACCCAAACAATATGCATTTTAATTTGTTTCATATTGCAACGTTTTGTTTAAATGTAGAGCGCTTTGTTTGCACATCTCCCGTTTTTTGAGCTCTTGTTGCAGTTTCTGTTTTTGTTCTGTTGATTCCAACTTGCCACGATGTGCGGCGTTTTATGAAAATTCAATTGGATGCCGATGCAGTTGCAGTTGCCGAAACGAAACGACAGAGACTAAAGCTGAAAAAGCGACATCGGCATTGGCAGAAACAGCCAAACAAAACGACGTCTCTGCATATTTGGTTAAAATCGTTGCCTTTCACTGTTTGCCATTTCAATTATGTGCAACGCGGCGTATACACAATGTTGTAATGAAATGGGCACATGGCACCCACACCCCAAAACCCTCACACCCATTCCCATTCTCCACGCATAAATATTTTGGCCAGCAATCCAGCCAGAGGGCCCAATTGGGCAAAGAGTTGCCGTTTTTCTCCGCTTTTTGGCCCTCCAAGTGGACTCTCTGTTATTTAAAAAGGCATTTTGTCGCCGACTGCAGCTGCAGCTGTTTCTGCATAGTGTTAAAAGTTCATGCATATTTATGGTGTCATTCATTTTAAAAAACGCACCAGTATGAAACGCATTTAAACAGCCTGCGAATGGAGTTGCACAGGCAAGGGGTGCCTCAAAACCAATGAAAATGCATTGTGGCTTGGATTGAAGTGCACATTTAGAATTGCAATTCAATCGTCTCGATTACTTTGGCCGGACTTTGGAAACAATAAACAAATAGACGTAGGGATCTCGATCTCTGGGTGACCCAAGCAAATTAAATGCAGCTCTCTGAAGTCTTTTGTTGACCATGGCTTTGCCTTCGGTTTGTCTTCCCGTGCATCATAGGGCTTATTTTGCGCAAAGTTGCCTTTTGGCTATTTGTAAAGTTTCCAACAAGTGGGGGGTTAGTGTGGGGGGGGGGGGGCATTCAAGGACCCCCGCCCCGAGGGTTCGGCAATTCCCACTCACATCCACCATTAGCAGCTACTTTTCAATGCGGTTAGCTGGCAAACAAAGCGTTGCACATTTGCGCAGATAAAGTTCTGGCTCAATACAGAGGGGAAATGGGGGAAAATAGTTAAAAATATGTAAAAGTATTTCGCTTCTTTTTTGCCTTATTTTATTTACGAAAAAGTTCAGATGAAATGCACAACAAAAGTTGCCCCTGCAAAATTCACCGCCCACACAGCAAAAGTTAATTGCATGTGTATTTGTGTGTGGCAACTAACTTTTTAGGTAAGTTTAAAAAGGAAAGGGAGGGGGGGGGGCGGGGCGCTGGGGGCAGGACAAGGTTCCCCGGTAATAATTAAACACACATTTTATGCTGCTAATGAAACATTAGTTGTTTACATTTAATTTGCTATTTAGAAGCCCCGACGCGCACCTCGCCCAGAAACAAAAACACCCACCCATTAAGTCTGGCAGTTGCATCGACCGATGACGAAAAGAAAAGTTTATCCGGAGTCCAGTTCAAAGGGGGAACACAGAAAGAAATCAGAAGAAGTTCGGCTAACAGATGTTGTTGTTAAACGTAAAGGTTGGGAAACCTAACTAATTTTAATACTTACATTTTAAGTTTTTCCAAAATAATATGGTTTACAGAGTTCTTTATATTTAAAATCGTAAGGAAAAATATTGAAAGAAGAAACAATTAAAATTAATCATGACCGCGCTTAAAAAGCTTTAAATAAGATTCAAGTGTATCTGAATAAACCCCATTTTCCTCAGTGTTCCAACTAGCCCATTCAAAATACTTAGAACATTTAGCCATTATTATTTTTCTGGCAATCAACTGCGCTTCATTGCCTTTGGCTGCCATTGCTGTTGCCTTTTGGCTTTTGATTTGTTGATTTTCCAGGCAGAGAGATTTATGAACACACCAGCCGACAACCGACACACATGCCGAAATAAAGTTGCTTGTATTTAGGCCAACAAAAGCAGCTTATATATGCAAAATTTTCCAGCTTACACACGAAAAGTTCCCCCCGCCAGCTTAGTTGTAATTTATTGGCTTGATAAAAACAAATGAAGAAATAACAAGAAATTCTGCAATAAAACAAGGCAGCCAGCAAATATGCATTGTGCAAATTTGACTATGTGAAAATCGTTGCAAAATTGAAATCGTTATCGTTCCACATTCGGGCAAAGTCATATACATATATTCCTTTCGGTTGACACACTTTCGGAACTGTGAAATTTTTCATTTACTTTGATTTGCTGCCAATATCTCTCAATCATCTCAAGGTAGCAGAAACCCCAATCCTGTGGTTTGTAATTTATGAACTTCCTCCCAGTGCAGTGGTTGGAATTTCACATTAGTTACCGTCCTTGGCAACATTTTTTGGCGAATTGTATGCAGCGATGCGTAAATTTCACTTATGAGCATGTGCCAGCACATGTGGTTTTTCCAGGAGGGTGTGGGGGGGGGGGGGGGGAATTTTCCTAAAGGGGGCATGGAAAACCCAGCCGGAGCAGAAGGGTGCTCACAAAAATATTAAAAACGGCAAATCAAAGTGCTGCCTACATATTTTTGGGCAAATGTTTGCGGTTGGGAATGATCCTTTAGCAGGATTACTTTCATGTGGCTGCAGTACTTCTCAAATGGGAGAAAAAGGCACTCTCGAACCACTACTTTTGTGAATTTCAAAATTAAAATGGTTTTCCGTTTTTCAGGCAGCACATTTTTTAAGCTAAATGCCGCGCACAAAAAGCGCACTAATTGAAACTGTCAAAAGTGATGGCTGGATTAGTAAATTAAATAATTCATTACCCTGCGGCAAAATCAATTCAAATTAACTATTACATGGTAATAGTTTTTAAAAACGTGGCACAATTGACAGCCGATGTAGACAAAAATTATGTACCCATTTGACGGTGGCCATTTAATTATGCAACAATTTTAGCTATATTTATACAGAATACCCACAGTTTATTGATATTTTTATCAATTTTGCGAGCCAGCACAAAGGCAATAATAATTTACCATAATATAGCCATTAAATGGTTAATTAATAAAGGACTTTGCACTGGCTCTTTGCCGGAATTAAAATTCATATGGCGCAAATGCTGGGTCAGCATTTTCAGCACAAAGTTCAACGAATTTGCAATAACAGAATTATGAATTTGTTTTTCTGCTCGCAGAGCTGGCATTACGACAAGTTTATTGCAACTTTTTGCCCCTAACCCCCGGAAAACTTATCAAAAACTTTCACGTTCATCATTTGCAAATATTATGAGTTTCCATGCGAGACACACAATCGCAAATATAGAAATTCCCGAGCATAAGGAGTTCGGGCATTATATTTTTTGATTGCGAGTGCGTGGCGCATATGACAAAGAACCCAAGGAATCCTACATCCTTTCACAACGGATCCCCCGCTGACAGTTGGCACCGCAAAGAATCCGATGTGATTTCTGGCCATTACCGAAAGCAGCCACGCTTATCTTGGCCAGAATGCAAAGACCCATGCGGAGATACATGTATCTACATATATCCTATGCAGATACTTTTTTATCGCAAGTCGGGGCAATTTCTCAGGAAAAACTTTCAGCGTTTCAGCGCACAAGGATTGACAAAATAAATAAATATGAAAATTTACGGCAGAAGTTCGGGTATTTTTTTACCCCTTCCCCTTTCCGCTTTCACTTAAATCGGTTTTCCCGTTGGGGGGGTTGTGGCTTTTAACTTTTGCCCTGGAATTTATTGAAAAATCGATTGTGGCATTAAATGCGCCATGCAAAAAAAATAATAAAAAAGTAAAAGAACGACTGAGGATACAGCCTACTGTGTCCCAAATCCTTTTGGCTTTTCGGCAAATCATCTCGGCTTGCAGCTGCAAAACTGGCGCGTGACTACGTCGAACTTGGCCGGAAAATTTATGCAAAGCGCTGGCAGATACTTAAAGTAAACCCAAAGCCGCTGCAGCAAGTTTTCCTCACGCTCTTGATTTTACTCGAAAGTTGGAGGCACCAGATGATGGGCAACAAGGAGATTTGCATAAGGCTGCCAGCAATCGAAGAGCTTTTCAATTCGATTTTATTTATCCACGACATTGTGCGTGTGTACAAATTTACAAAGCCCCGTGAGCAGTTTGCCGGTAAACCAACCAAAAATGCCAACAAACAATGTGCAAATTAGGCCGCAAAAACACATTCGGCCAAACACGGGAAAGGTGAAAGGTGGCGACACAAAACGCTTGGCCGCAATTGAAATGAAAAAAAAAATATCACAAAGCACTGCGAAACGAAATCAAATCAAATAACGCTAATTCTCGCAAAGCCGATTTGTCCGCAAATTTAGCCAAATTAAAATAATTGCAAGACATTTATACAAAATCAAATTCCATTTCATTTGATTGCCGATATCTAATTAAATCAGCAAAACCGCAAACGCGCAAGCAAACACAAACACAAGCACAAACAAGTGCGCAGAAAATAACAATTAAAATAATTATATTTGCATTAGCTTACATTAATTTGAGCCTCGAATTAAAATTGAAACAATCGAGCTAGAAAAACTATGCGCAGCCTATAGATTGTGGCCACGGATTATCCCGATGCCATGTGTTTGCCTTAAGTTGGGTATGCTGCTACATAATTCAGCGGGTAAATCGGTTAGCAGCACCGCAGACGCACAAAGTTTTTAGCCGAAAGCCTCTTAGGCTAGAGCCACGCCCACTCCGAACCCTTCTGCCCCCGGATAATGCCCAAAAAACCCCCATTACATACCTATACCCTTGCCCTTGCTGGTTTTGTTAAAACTTTAAGTCAACTAAGCGGCTTACCTTTTGCAAACGCACACGCACATCGCTCATACGCCACGTGCAACACAGGAACACAGGAAAATGCCACCCTCATTTTGCTTAAAACATACGCTTTATTTTTATTTCGGGATAATTTTCACTTAACCTATGTACAGTTTAGTTTAGTTTTAGTGTTAGTCGTAGCTATAGTTAATTTATGCACTCACTTTGTATACATTTATCAAAAATACAATAGTAATGGTTATTCTGTACAGTTTTTGAACGCCGCCTACCCTTTGACCCGAGAGTTGATTGCCAGCGTCGTTTAGTTATGCCTTTTTCATCGTTATCGGATAGTGCCTTAATTATTTACAAGATACTCGTACAGCGAGAGAGAGCTTAGGCTCTTACATGCTGTACTGATACCGCACATTGGAGGCCAACTGGGGGGTTATAGTATACAAGTTTGTGGATAGTTTTCAACAGATTATCATCATATAATAGCTCACCTCAACGCCCACCAACCGCTCGTCGTACTCGCTGCTCGCCTGCATCGCCAACTTGGCCTGCGAGTGCATAATCGCATCGGAAAGCGAGTCCCGCTGATATGTTGAGGAGCCCAGCATGCCGGGCACTCCGCCGGCGGACCCATTGGAGCCCGGCGCCTTCAGCCGGGCGGTCTTGTTGCGGCAGAAGAACTCCACGATGGCCACGATCACCGCCAGCAGGAGGCCCCCGATCAGGATGTAGTAGATCCCGGCCACGTTGCTCAGCGAGAGCTCGTTCGGCGTGGAGGTCTCCTGCTCCAGGTTGCACTCGGTCTTGTCGAACCACCACTTGTTCCGGATCCGCAGCAGCTCACCGTTCTCCTTCAGCGTGAGCACGGCTTCATTTAGACGTTTTCTATGTTTTCGGGAGGTTAAGGGTTAGGGATTAAGGCAAAATATATTAGGTTACAAATCACCAGGGTTATTAAATAAATTTAAATTTTTATCGTAGGTGTCTAAAAGTATGCAGTGGATAAAGGATAGTCGCCTTTCCCACTGATTTCATGGTACTTCTGAGTTTTAAAAATATTGCTGCATACTTTTAGACACCTATGATGACGCTTTAGAAACAGACATTAACAAACATTATAAAAAGTTATTTTCATTTTCTTTAAATAAAAGAAACTCCTTTAAAATAAAAGGCTAATAATAATCTTTAAAAAACCTACCTCAATGGCGATCCTATGGGTGTGGCCACGCCAAAACCCTTCGTATCGATATTACGCCCAACTTTCATTGTGTCGCAAGGGGGCCTGGCATTCACATACTCGTTTTTGGGGGACTCCACCAGTAGGGCGTACTTCCCCTTGGAGGCCCTCACCCTTCGTATACCCTCATCGTAGGTAGGAACCAAGTGTTGTTGATTGGCATTCATATACTCCCACATTTTGTTGTGCAGACCGATTTGTGAGCGCTGCAAATTAACTCTTTTCAGAGAAGAACAAAGAAGAAAAACTAACTTTCGCACTCACCCTGAAGAATTCCCAGGTGGAGCCGTGCAAAAGAGTTCCATAGCTAACATCCGTTTGCATGGCCAAGTCCTCGGGCGTTTTAATGGGGGCCACCATGCGTTCCACGGTGAGAAAAGCGGCCAAATTGGCAGTGTAAGAGGAAATCAGAATGATGGTGAAGAACCACCAAACAGCAGCTGCGATTCTGCCGGCTATTGAAGGAGGCGTGAGATCGCATCCCTGCTGCATGAAGGCAGCCAGGGAATACCAAAAGGAATTTAGCATGGTGAACTCATTGGGTGGAACTGGTGGCTGATGGCACTGCGGTTCACTCAGCGTGGCCCCTCCAATGATGCCCGGTGGCTGCTGGGCACTGGAATCCCCCTGTGGTCGTCTTACAATTCGCCACTCGTACGGCGGAAAACGGGTTACAAAGTACAGAACAAAACTAACTCCCACATAGCTGAGAATCACACTTATCTGAAAGTTATTATCATAAGGATTGTGATTTTGAAGAACTTTTGGAACCCAAGACTTACCCAAATCTCCTGTGACAGGGGATTGAGGAAGCTGAAGACTCCTGGTGTCTGTTTCACGGGTTTCTTGATCATAATGGATATGCCCAGGGTCATGAAGGGCTTGCTGAAGTCAATAACCCGCTCTCTTTCGGCTGTAATAGTCATGGCCGCAATGGCTATATCCGCCTCTTTGCGAACCAGCTCACCCACCATGCCATCCCAACCTCCAGGGGCATACTGATTCTCCGCTCCATAGTTCTTGTCTTGGACCAGGCGTATTTCATCTGGGTACAGATTGGTTATACATAATTAATATTTCATCTCATTCTGAAATTACTTCTTGGAAATAATCTAAGATTAGCAATTCAACTCACATTTTATTCCCAACTGGGCGGCCAGCATATCGGCCAGGTCCTTGCAGTATCCTTCGTAGCGATCGTTGCCCACCAGTTGTTCGCCGTAGGTGTACTGCTTCTGCGACAGGTAGGGCTCCTCCAGCAGGCTGGTCACGATGTACGTGTGGTTCCGGTCGTAGTCGCCGGTGCTGAAGGACCCGGAACGCGACGATGTCCCATAGCTGTGGCTGTGCAGCGGAAGGAGTCCGGCGTCATCACGCCACTCGGCCACCTGCTGCAACGTGCTGTTCACGGACATCTCCACCACGTGCAGCGTGTAGTTGATTCGCCGGCCGTCCTCGTCGAAACGGATCTCCCCCGACAAACCATCAATTTCCACCTGGCGTGGGAAAAACAAAGGGGTTATGCACAGCAAGAAATAACCAAGAACTTGACATTTCTTGTTTATTTATGTAAAAAGAAATAAAATATATTTAAGGGGTTCCCGAAAGTCCACACCAACATTATTGTAGCTTGAATATTACCAACCTAAAGTAACCTATAAAATATGTGATGGTAAAAGTAAAATCTTAAAACTAATCCTAGTTTAAAAGAAAGATATTATGTATATTTTTTTTGGTTAGGTAGGTTGTAAGGATAGGTTTTGTAAATATAATTTAATGGAATAACATAAAAAATATTCTTAAAGTAGTCACCGAGTCGATATACATTTTTCCCATCTTAACATGCCCCTAAGAAACAACAGCCTCTGTACATAGATATCTTATATTACGACCTTATTATTTTAATTTAGTTTATTATCCAACCCCCTTCACTCACCTTCCTCAGCACCCTGGAGATTTTCTCGCCCTGTTCCCAAGGCGTGACCCAGCCCTTGCTGGTGTTGCAATCGAGGAGGGCACTGGAATCATTGGCGCCGGTGGAAGAAGAGGACGAGCCACCTCCGTGGCTGCGGCGCTGCAGATGATTGGAACGGAACTGATCCGGCTTCTTGCGCAAAATGCGATTGAAGGCCTCGACGAGCACGAAAACCGCATCGTACATCAGGGCGGCCTGGGCCTGGAAAAATGGCAACGGGTTAAGGGGAAAAACTACAGTTGCTGGCGAAACAAATCAATGACGGCTGACGATTTACCGAAATGGCCGGCAAGCTGTTGGCCCCCGCTGCGTTCTGGCTTTGGCTTTGGCCAGCCGGCTCCAAGCGTTTCCGGCTGTCGTGGAAATCACGCACCGCCCGCCGATTAGAGTCGACAATGCGAAAGCCGGTGATGTTGATGGCCCCAAACTCGACCACGTCGCTGGGCCAGTGGTTGTCCATGACCTACGGCGGAAGAGAAACAAGAGAGCAGCTTAGCCGAGTTCCAGGTACCTGGTAGTATATGTTGCCTATTTACAAAGTCATTGAATATTACCCAAGGCCTAAGTATTGGGATTAAATATTGTTTTCCTTTCTTACATTTTAATACTTTAAAAAAATCACATTTTCCTTGACATATTATATTAAAATATATTTGTAAAAAAAACTAGAAAACCTTTTTTTGTGATTCAGATTTTGGTCATAAGTACCTATTTTTAGTGGTTTTTCAGTCGTAGTTTAGCCAAATCAAGGCGTACAGCTAAAAGCAGCTTGCTACAAATGCTATCGATCCTCATCACTTTAAGAAACTTTTTTTTTTTGACCCATTTTCTCATTTTTTATAAGGGGGTACATCGGTTTTTTTTGTGATTCAGATTTTGGTTAAAAATACTAATTTCTAGTGGTTTTTCAGTCGTAGTTTAGTCAAATCAAGGCGTACAGCTAAAAGATCGACTGTTTTGAGCAGCTCGCCACAAATGCTATCGATCCTCATCACTTTAAGGAACATTTATTTTTTGACCCATTTTCTCATTTTTTATAAGGGGGTACATCGGTTTTTTTTGTGATTCAGATTTTGGTCAAAAATACACATTTTTTAGTGGTTTTTCAGTCGTAGTTTAGACAAATCAAGGCGTACAGCTAAAGGACCGACTGTTTTGAGCAGCTTGCTACAAATGCTATCGATCGTCATCACTATAAGGGAAATTTATTTTTTGACCCATTTTCTCATTTTTTATAAGGGGGTACATCGGTTTTTTTTGTGATTCAGATTTTGGTCAAAAATACACATTTTTTAGTGGTTTTTCAGTCGTAGTTTAGTCAAATCAAGGCGTACAGCTAAAGGACCGACTGTTTTGAGCAGCTTGCTACAAATGCTATCGATCCTCATCACTTCACGGAACATTTATTTTTTGACCCATTTTCTCATTTTTTATAAGGGGGTACATCGGTTTCTTTTGTGATTCAGATTTTGGTCAAATATACAAATTTTTAAGTAATTTTTCAGTCGTAGTTTAGCCAAATCAAGGCGTACAGCTAAAAGACCGACTGTTTTGAGCAGCTTGCTACAAATGCTATCGATCCTCATCACTTTAAGGAATATTTATTTTTTGACCCATTTTCTCATTTTTTGTAAGGGGGTGCATCGTTTTTTTTTTTGTGATTCAGATTTTGGTCAAAAATACACATTTTTTAATGGTTTTTCTAGACTTGCAACAAATGCTACACTAAAATTTATTTGTTAAAAAATTGTACAGATAAGTTATACTTTAAAATATGTCTAAGTTTCATTTTATAATGAAAATATAGCTCTATTTATTTGCCAAACAGTTATATCAAAAATTAAATATTATTGCCTTGGCGATTTGGAACCCAACTAAATTAAAAATATTTGTTAAGCAACTATATTTTGTTTCATGTTTTACTCATAATTTCTAAAATAAAAGTACTATAGTTGAGCATTTTAGTACGTATATACCTTGCAAAATGATTGCTTTGTTTTGAATAAACCTCCAATGAATGCGAAACACCCGTGTAATCCCGAAATACCGGGTAAACTTTGGCAGGGGAAGAATCCCCGAAACGGAAGCTAGCAATAATTGCTTATTAACGTCTCCCAGGGGCGGAACAGAAGGGGGGGAGTTTTGGACCACGGCCCATGGGCACCACTTACCAGTCCGCTGAGCAGGTAATGATAGGTGCGCCGGCCCAACTTGATGTCCCGCACATGCTGCACGATGATCTCTTTGGCCATTTCCGCCGGGCAGTCGAGCACGATGCGCTTTTTGCTGAAGCGACCCAAATCCTCCAGCGTGTGCAAAAATTCAATGGCCATCGTTACGTTGGCGATGCGTTTCACCATTTGCACACGGAACGTTTCATTTCCGGGCTTCAGTTCTTGATAGATTTGCTGCAGCCGTAGTAAGCCTGTGGGGCATCCAAAAGCGATTGTCGGTCAGTTGAACAAAGAGTGGCTATTGTGGGTGTGCGGGTTCTTGGCAGATTGGCGGGTTGGTGGAGTGGGGATTAAGGTATTTGGATGCGGATCTGGATCCGAGGGCCATAAGAAACAATCTGATAATGCATCGGACTGCTATGGTGTTTTATGATAATGCCTGCAATCTATAAACAATTTCCAAGCTGAATGAATTCATTCGAATAGATTTATCTCTCTCGGGAAGCATGTGTCATTTAATCATATTCTCGATTCCCTTTTTTTTTGGCCCGCAGTCGAAGCCGAAGCATCATACCATCTTTCAATCTCACAAGCCGCAAGGATGAAGCACAACAACAAAAAACGTATATATTTTCACACGCCATTTGTTGCACGTCCAATATGGCCCTCAATGTTGTTGTTGTCATTGATTTGCTGCCTGCATTGATTCGCAAAAAGCGAAAAAAAAATCCCGAAGAATGGGAAACAAACCAACAAGGGAGGAAAAGCAGGAGCAGTAAACACTCGCGTGGAAAAGCGGAAACGGAAGTGCACACACAATTGAAGTACTTTTTTGTGGTGTGCTGGTAACATTTCAATAAATAGCAGACCGAAAAAATCGCGAAACAGGGGGTGTGCTGTTTTATTGAATGTTTCCTATATAGTCGAAGGATCGATGGGCTATAGGAGTAGTGTCTCTTCCCCGATGGCATTCATGAATGCGCCAAAAAATATGCTACCAATTTGTCGCCGTGTGCAGCAGTTTCAGCCGTTTTCAGCCCCCAAACCAGAGTGATAACAAGGCACAAAAGGCGTTGTTGGGGCGTTGAACAAAGCAATAACAACAAACTGCTGACAGCGGCATTAAAATATAAAGTCCCTCAGTGGAAAGGGTAGTGCCAGTGCCACTGCTTTCGTTAACAATGTAAACGCCAGAGTCGAAGTCGGCCAAAAAATGGCTGTGGAATGGAATTGGGGGGAAGTGGAGTGGAGTGGAGTGCCTCCTCAACAGAGCTGCCGCTGCTGCTGCGGCATTTCCTTTTCCTGCAACGAATGCCAGCGGCAACAATGTCGGCCTACTTTTCGGCGCCGAGGCAAATATTAAAAAATGGCCCAAAAAGGCAAAATAATAATAATGTTAAGGCAGTGGCGCAGCCAGCAGTTGCATAAAGTCATAAATTTTATTTCACACAGAGTCATTAACACATGACACACACACATGGGCGGGCTTACAACGGCGTGTGAACTCATTATAAAGGAGACAGGACGCGAAAGAGACAGCTAGAGAGCGGGAAAAATCACTGCGGCGTATACGTAATATGGGATTTTTTTTCAGGACCTCTGTGTCTCTGTGTGTGTGCCTCCTGCTCCATCTGATGTCTTCATCTTTGGCCGTAATTGTTGCCATCGTCGTATTGTCCCACGTAGACGGCAGGAAATTGCTTTGAAATAAATTTCAATACAACAAAAAGCAGCCTAAGACCCCAAACACACACACACACACACACACATGCAGAGTGTGTATACACACACAAAGAGCGGGTAAACTCGAGCATATGTGTGTGCGTGGAGCCTGGCTGTGTGCGTGCGTGTGTCCTTCTGCTGGCTGCTTAAGCCCGTTGAGGAGCCACTCGAAAGAGCGCTCTTGAAGGCACTTCAGCGCCCTGTCTGCCGAGCTCTTCCCCTTCCGCTTTTTTTAGCCGGCGCACGGGGCTCTTTGTGCCGCTTATTTAATTACATATTAGCAGAAATGAAAAGACACGAGCTCGAGGTCGCAGGATTAAAAAATAAAGTGGAACACGGGCAGCACGTAGAGAAGAAAGTGGGTGAAATTAACACAGTCACTTTGGAAAATGTAGAAAAATATATATTATAAAAAATGTTAGGTATTATGTTAGGGTTTCCTATGATTTGAACACTGGGAATACTGGATAAATGGATATTATTATGTCTTTAATAAAGTAAATGTGGTACATTTAAATGAGCGATTCTTAATAACAAATTTTCTTTGATTTATATTGATGGATACTGTGTAGTAAAGTATACCTAAGGTTTTTGATTTTTAAATAAATATTGTAAATTAAATTAAATACCGGAGCTACCACATCTTTAGGCTAAAATAAGTAAATTTCATAAACTTCAGCTTAAATTAATTTCATAATTTTTCGACTGCATTTCATGCCAAACTAAAAGTCAAAGGCCGAGGAACACTTCACCCCAACCTCGCACTGACACACTTAATCCCAAGCAGAAACATTGCCATAACCGCTACTTAAATCCACTCCCACCCGATTGACGCCTTATTTGTTTATGGCAAATGAAAGTCAAATGAAATGAAATCGAAACACAAAGCAACCAAATGGGCAAACAAACAAGCCGGGTAGATAATGTGTGGCTGGCTGAGAATCAGGAACTGATTTGCAGGGTAAGGAAAGGGAATTGGATGGTATGGTATAGAATAGCATGGTATGTATGTGCAGTAACTCACCATCGTGCGAGTCGTAGAGATAAATAATGCTCTGCCAGCCGTAGTACTGGATGGTATCGATAATCGCCTGATGATAATCCGGACGCATGCTGATAGCGAAATCCAGCAGCCCCGACGACGGCGTGAGCACCTACAAGTATGCAAAACAAAACCAGGGCCTCGTGAACTGGCTGTAACAATGTAATGTGCACGCTACATGAAGCAATAATAAAATGAAACGCGTTTCCGCTTTGCGCCCCGCCAGCGACATGTATGTAAGTCCATGGAGGGCGGCAGCTGGGGGTTTTTGTAGGCGGTAAGGCGACGCCAACAAGCAGATACATCCAAAGAGATACACACAGATACCCGTTTCCGTTTAGCTCGACATACACAAACAGAGAAAAAACTTGATAAAGAATTCTAAAATGTTCTCGCTCATTTTAATATAAAAATGCAATATAGATATATTTAGCTTATATGCCTAAAAGAAGGCAATCAACAGTTTTTACAAAGGACATTTTAGAATTTTTATATGATCCTAACATGTCTAATACTTAAAACTACTCATTTTTGGTAATGCAGAAATAATAAATCTGTCTAAAAATCTTTAAAGATATCAAATCACTTTTTAAAGTGTCAAAAAGTATGCTGTAAATTTTGAATTTAGCGACATAAAAATAGTACAGAATTCTTAGAATCCCTAAAAAAAAGTTTAGAAATTTTAAGTCAAAGTGTCAAAAAGTATGCAATAAGTATATAGTACTTTGAATTTAGCGACATAAAAGTAATACAGAATTCTTAGATCCCTAGAAAATTTTTTAGAAATATCAAATTACTTATAAAACTGTCAAAAAGTATGCTATAAGAATATATGATTTTGAATTAGCGAAATAACAAAAGATCCTCTAATAATATTTGAATCAGGTTTAAAATTCAAATGTTTGTGTATTTTATACAACTAATTTCTAAGTTATTGACCGATTTTCCTTAGTTTTCTCTCTGTGTATGGGACTGCCCCGAGGGGCACGCAAATGCGCAGTCAGTGTGTGCGAATCTCGGTATGTGTGCTGGTGTTTTGCCGCCCGGAGTCGGAGTCCGGAGTCGGATGCCTCTGCTTCAGCTTCTGCTTCTTCCTCTAGAACCCCCCCTCCATATCTTGATTTATAGTGATTGAAATAAAAGAGGCCAAGAGCGTGTCATAAATTTTTTCGCTCTCAGTGTAGTAGGAGTTGCTCCTCGTTCGCCGCTCGTTTGGCATTGTCTTCCGGCTGGCGGAGCGTTTGGCTTTCTGTTTCGCAAGTGACAACAACAAGAGCCACAGTCACTAACCAGAACCGAGTTACCAGAGTTACCAGTAACAACAACAACTGTCCGCTTTGTTGCTGTTGGTAGTAAATTTTCTTCAAATTACAATTATTATGATTTGTGCTTTGGCTTTGATTTAGTGCACTGTCTGAGGGCACGGCGAACACACAATTGGGCACTGTTTGAACTGTGAACCCGCCACGACACCCAGCGCTCCACTTTATGCAATGACTTCATTTCTACAGAATCGACAAAATGTTCTCGGAATTAACTGGGGAACATTTTTTGCTTGGCCTGTGGGTGTTACGAACCCCAGCTAATGTGATTGGTAATTGAAAATCTAAATTGTTTGGGGACTCTTGGCTGTGTGTTGTCATAAAAAACTCGACTGGCTGGCGAATAAGGGTTAAAACAGATAAAATATTTTTACAATTCCTACGTGATTTTGCCCTTATCATTTTACACTTAGGATGTCGTGACTGGGTTTTTAATAAAAGCTTCCTGTTAAAGCCAATAAAGAGGCAGACATTTACATCAATGTTACATATTCTCTTCAGTGAAAAAAATGTAGAAGTTTATTACTAACGATAAAAATCAACTTTATATTAAACTCAGTACTAATAGATTTTAATCTCCTAATTAAACGTGAATTATTAATAAAAAATTCTTTAAACGGAAATCATTTCAAAGGCTATTTTTATACACTCCATAAATTCCCTATTTAATGTTTACATTTAAGTAAATTATTCCAATAACTGAGGCTTACATTTGTTTTATAATATAAAGGTTTAACACCGCTTAAAATGAAATTAAAGAAACACTTTAACGCCGTTTCTTCTTCCTCAATTAAATATTTTATTCACAGCCTTTGTTTAATGTCCGACTTTATTACGCAGTAAAGCACACAATTAAACATTTGACTACCTCGCACTGGCTCTAATATGTGTTGGCACTTTGAAAACTTTCCCTTTGTCCCATCAACCTTTTGGCCAACTTCATTAACGCACAACTGAGTTAACTTAACCATGCCAGTGCCCTATCGCTCACATCAAAACCGCAAAATGTAAATAATTGCGCACAGCGACACTGAAATCAATTACATATGACAGTATTCTCTTTTTTTAACCCCCTTTTGCAACCCCCCCTTATATAGGTATAACCATGGCATAGGGACTTACCTTCTCGGGGAACCAGGGCGTCACGAATGGCATTTGGAACGTATTCGAGTAGGAGTGCAATGTGTCAAAGGAGTCCGGCGATACGGCGCCCAGCATTGAGTAGACTCCGCGCGAGAATTGATTGCAAACTGGAGGTTACAGTAATAAATTCGTTTTGTGTTTTTCTTTTCCTTTTGGTTTCGGTGGCAGGGTGGGTGGAAAATTGTTGGGTGGTTGGGTTGGAAAATGGGAATGGAAACCGGTGCGGAGACAGTGTCTAGGTCGCACAATTAAATTGCAGCTTTGAGTGCGGAGTGGCGACGTAAAGTAAAACCAATTTTCAATAAAAAATGCACATAATTAATGGGGGTACCATGTATTGTGTAATGGTTTCTTTTTTTCTCTCCCAGGTTTGGATGGATGGTTGGATTGGTGGGGGGGTTGGCAAGGGAGCTACGTTAAAAACACATACTCAGGCGGGATAATTTGAATGCATCTGCTGTATTGATGACATCGACGTACGCCTGCAGCTCGAATCGTCGAGAGCTCACATTCAGATTGTGATTGAGCATTGCATATTTAAAGGCTGATTGCACATCATCCGTTCCCTGTTCGAAAATCGCACCTGCGGAGGATAGAAAAAGTGCAGAGAAAAAAATAAATAAATAGGTGGAGGCGGAGTTTCCCCCACGCTCGGGGGCGAATATTTTTGCTTCGTTAAATATTTAGGCAGCTTTTGACACGGTCCTGTTAATATTAAACGAAAAAGCGCACAGAGCAAATATGTACACAAATGATAGCATAATGTCACACCCACACTGGCACACCCCCGGCTCACACAGATACTGACACACACACTTGCAAGTAGCGAGACAAGCCGCCCCGACAGGCAACAACAAAAAGCGCAAACGAAGTGTTGATGCAGCAATTTTGTGCTGCGCTTTTGCATGGCACCTGAACAGGTAGCACCTACTCGGAGGAGCCCCAATCCCACTTCCACTTCCATTCCCACTTCCACTTCCATTCCCATTCCCATCCCAATTCCAGTCGCCATGGCGAAGCCCGGATTTGAGTGCAAGCCAGTCAGCATGACTGTCACATTAGCAGCCACCAACCAGATATATATACCCACAGACACCTATAGTATATATATATATATATGGCTGGGTGTTCCGGTGCATGGGGCCAAAATGACTGCAGGTGCAATGACTGAACGCCATCGTGTAATAAAAATAAGGTGGCAAAAAAAAAACAGGAAAGCGTAAAATAAAATGTGGCCCAACTAGGCAAGTTCTCGGTGGGGACTTCCACATCCTATATTTGTGCATTTGCAAAGTGGGGAAATTTTAAATGCAAAGAATATTTAAGTTATGTAGGTCTTTGAATGGACTGATATTAAAGCTAAATTATTAATATTACAAATTACTAATATTTTTTAAATTTAAGTGTGAGAAATAAAATAAGATATCATGCTCATATATAGACAATATTTTGAAGGCCCACTTAAAATGTAAGTGATTAAATAAATTCGCAAGTTAAAAAATCATTTAATTTATTGCATTAAAAATATATGTGTATATTATAATAATAATATATTTACAAAAAATATCAAAGGCAGTTTGTTTCGTTAGACAACTAAAATAAATTAGGTAATAGCAGTGACTAACACATTAACAATTTTTTCAACTTTTCAACTTGTAAAGTAAAGAACATCAGAAAAACTTAAAAAGTATCAAAAACAATTAGTTTAATTGAATTAAAACTTTGAAAGTTTTAAACAGAAACCAAAAGCACAAGGAAAATACTTATAGTGAAACCTTAAAAACTTTAAAGCCATTAAAGTTGTTTCAATTCAATTGAAAAATTTTACTGAAATGTACTCAAGAATTTTATTAACAGATTTTCCAAAACTGTATTGTATAATCAACCTAATAGCTACAGCATGCGATTAGCTTTGTAAAAGCTGGTAATGGAAAACCAAAACAAAATCAAGCCATTGTAAACCCAATTGCAACTCCCATTGTTATAAGGCTGAAGGGAAAATCCCAATTCCGACGTGTGAAGTATATTGAACATAAAATTCTACTAAAAATCATGCAGGATACTTTGTGCAGAAGGGCAGGAAAGTGAGGGGAAGGTCAGGGATAATCTTTGGGCATCAGCCATACCCAATTTCCCGAACGAGCCATGGGAGGAAACTAAGGAATCCATTCCGGGAATCACACACAGCAGAGGTGGAGTGTATATATGGCCACAACAACAATGGCCAATCCCATCCACAAGTGCAGTGTAAGTGACAATTTCGCCTGCTCCTTTTTTGGGCAGGAGCGGCAGGATTCTGGGGATCCTGGGGATCCTTTGGCGACGCTTTTGAGACTCACCTAATGGTATTTTCTCGGTTAACGACGCCGCCTGTTGTTGCTGCTGCTGCTGGGCGGCACTGAATTCCGGCCAGAAAATGCTGCTGGCGCATATTAAATGTAAATATGCCAAGAATTTTAGCCTCGAATGCATTTTGCGCTTGTAGTTCGTAGCTGCAACTATTTCGCCAAGTTTTTCCACTCTGAGTTTCGAGCACAATGAAGTGTATTTGCTGGTTAAATTGGTTTTGCCATCATGCAAAATGTTTCACTATATTTTTTATTGCTATAATTTTATTGGATACTTTTTATTTAAGTTTTATGAATAGCTTAATTTTGTTTGTTACACTGGTTAATTGTTTGGCGAACTTTCACGGTGGTTATTGAATAGCTCTTGTTTATATTGGCAGCTTTGTTTTAATCCACTATTGTTTGTATTTGATTAGTTATGATCCCTTAAGGACTTAAATTTTTGTTGCATATTTTCACATGCTTTTCTCACTTTAATAGGTAGGGGTTCGCATGGGTTCGCCTGACTTTAAGTTCGGGTTCGATTACAGATTTCCTTCTGCCGTTTCCCAAGGAATCGGAAAATCAACGCTCGACACTGCTCATCCGCTCACTTCAACCAAACGGACACGCGTTGTAATCAGCACTAAAAACTCCTAAGCTGGCCAGTAATACGAGGCTCCGGAAAAACCGGGCGACACGGCCACAATGTAGCTTTGTGGTCGGGGTTACTGGGAGCGTGAAAAGCCGAGAGAGTCGCCCAAGGGATGCTGTGCTCTTTGTACTAAAAACTGTGAGTTTTCCTTCTCTCCGGAGTCTGCAAAGAAAAGAGAGGGGATTTTCCCGAGAGAGAGAGAGAGAGAGGGTGGAAAATGAGTACCGGATGCTGTAACTGACCTACTGCATTTTGGCCACCACACAAGTTGCAGGTTGCTGGTTAAATGTTTGTTTACGTTATGCCTGCGTTTTTGGGCTGCATAATTGATAACAACAGCTTGGGAGGCGGCGGAAAAGTGGGCGTGGTTGGGGAAGGGGGTGCTGCAGCGATTTTCGGGTTTTTCCTTCGCCTCGTCGCGTTTTTATTTTGTTGGTAATTACGAATGATTTGGACGAACAATCCTTTTAACAAATCTCATTACGTTGTCAATTACGCGCCATTACCAACAAACGCGGCCCCGAGGAGCGACTCTCTCGGCCTGGCGTACTGAAATCTCATTAACAGGCTTTAATTTTCCAAACAAACTTAAGTGCGCCGAGGATGAAGGAACTCATCCGTCGGCATTTCTAACTGGCGGATATTATACGGAGTGAAAGCGGAGGAACTTGGCTGTTCTTAAGTCTTGTTTTGATGTTTGGAATTTCTCAGTCTTAGAAGAAGAATACTTATTAGGTACTTATCATTCTTAAGATATTTAACAATATTTTTAGCCATCGTAAATATAATATAGATATAATATTATTTTAATCTTATGGCACGGAGGTAAATCCAAAGAAGATAACTAAATAATTTTGTATCAATCGAGAACCCAAACCACTTTTTAAATTAATTAAGGATTTAGGTTCATAACTAAATAATAAAATATTGTAAGTCCTTCAAAAACAGAAAATGTTTACTCAAATATATTTGCTAACCCCCAGAACAAATATTATATTTTTTCCGTTTTCCAATACCATCTTATACCATCCTTTGCCATCTCTATTCCTAGCTACTCCTCCATATTGTCGATCTCTCGTGGCGTACGATTTCATCATAATCTGTAATTAGTTTATAATGCGCACAGGAAGTGCTGGAAAAATCCCGCGCGGAAGCGGCGAACAGGACAATGCCGACAACTCCTGACTTAACCTTTCAGTTAGACGGCAAACTGCGATTAGGGGCCAAGTCGATAAACATAAAAGTTAATGGTGAAATTTTTTAATTAAGAAAATCAATGAATATTTTTTCTCCCACCTCCCGTTTATATTCCTTTATTCCTTGACTGCATTATGGGTATTTTGCTGTTCAGCTTCCATTGCCATTTCCTCCACTTTAGATGGCACCATTTTAACATTTATGACTTGCGATTTTCACGACTCTCGGGGATAATGGAAAAGCACTCTTTGGAGTGATTTCCGTTTTTTTTTTATATATTTAATAAGCTCGAAAACAAACTTGCTGGCGTGCAATTATTTAATGCAAACGTCTATAAATTTTAATTGGCCTTTTTTTGTTACGCCTCGGCTATTTAATTATGAATCACAATTTGTGGGGATGCCTAAGTCAACAGAGTTAAAGCATTTAATTAAATCGGAAAAACAGGAACGCTTAAAGCCGCAGCAAAATCAAAGCCGCAAGTACAAAGATAAATAAGTGGCATTGTCGGTTTCATTTCCGGCTGCAACATTTGCATTCAAATCGCTGTGGCTGTGTGGGTATTTTCCGCCTCTGTGTGTGTGTGTGTGCTGTAAGCGGTATATAAGTAGACTCCCAACTGGTTTTATATTTAGGCGTTTGCCTGCGTTAAAAGCACAGAAAGAAAGCAATAAAAAGCAGCACGCCGCGACTGTGAATCCAAGGCAAAAATGGGTGGCCTTGGGCAGGGGGGATGGCACCACCCACTTAACAGCAGCTGTCGCTTCCGCAACGCCCTAACCTCCCACCACCCCATTTGTATTGGCTGCCGCGAGTTGGCCTCGACTGTCTTTCAGTTTCTCACTTCATCAGTTACGCCAAAAAGGAGACTCTACAATAAATTTCGCTGATTGCTTCCGTTCTTTATTTTTTTTTTTCGGCTGCCCCTTCGCATCTACGCTGGCTCATTTTTTATGCCGCTTGATAAAGTAATATCCGTTTTAGGTTCGCCTGGTTGTAGGTCCTGCCAACTAGACCTTACAGCACTTTGGCGGACTCTACAATACCCTTAGGGCGCCAAGAAAGTGGTAGAAAGTCAGTCTGGGTCGCATTGGGGGGGGTTCTCAGGGCACGAATGCAAATGATAGGGCATATTAAAATATTTAGGACTGTTCGGCAATCTTTTAAAACCTTTTTAAGAAATGTATCTAAATGAAAACCTTATATTCGCAGCTGAAAAGCAATTGATTTTAAATTGCTTTAAAAGACAAATGCATAAGCAATCTGTTGAGAAACGAATTAAAGAAATTATTAACCCACCAAAACCAATTAATTAGCTCAACATAAATCATAAACGAATTTAAATGCAGGCTCATATCTTCCGTTAAAACTTAAAACCTAATTATTTTCAACGAAACCAGTCAAATAATATTCAATTATTTTCCTTTACTGCAAATGTATAAGATAAATAGTGCATGGTAATTAAATCTTAATCATTTAATACTGCTTTCTATCCATTTGCTTCATGAATAATGTAATAAACTCGATAAAAAACTTCAGCAGAACCCTCAAAAACCGCACTTGCCGCAACTCGGGCTGAATAATTAAGGGGTATTAACTACAAGGTATACAAAAAATGTCAGTTGCTGCAAGTAATGTCCCAACTTTGGGCTATAATTTGGTGGACCAACACCGCACCGAGCCCCGCCACCCACAAACTGCAGCAGTTTTGCGGGTCTAACACAGATTTGTGGCCTTGGCTGTTGGGAGAGAGTTCGGTGGCCCATGGGGCGTATGCGTCATATCAGCACACGCATACGCCGTGTAGGTCAATGCTGTGAGACCAAAACGAATGTGTGTGTGTGTGACTCTACCCAAGTGTGTGTGAGTGTGTGCTGGTGTAGGTGTAATTGAAACTTCCGCTTTGGTCAGTTAGCGCAATTTAGCAAGCTGCAAAAAAGTTAGGCACGGCTGAAGTAACAGGCAAAGTGCAAAGTCCATTGCAGCTACTTGGCTTTCATTTCAATTTAAACTTTGGCCAACCAAAGCCAGCACACACACACGCACACAGTCATGGAGAGTGAAAATTATTTAAAATGATTTATTTCACAACAATTTTCATTAGGTGGCCAACTGCAATGCAGGTTGCCCGCCTTCTCCCGCTCCCCTGCACTAATTCACTTTTGCTGATTTCTGTGAAAAAATATGCGAAAAATGGCTTGAGAGTTTGGGGTTCATATATGAATGTGCCTGCCCCTCACTCATGTTTCATATATGAAATAATTATATGTGCGGTCAGCACAGTCGCTGCCAAAAGGACGCCGACTGGCTGCGGGCAGTGCAGCATTTTTCTAAAAAAGAAAAATATATATGAATAAAAATATAGAAAATTTGTGGCACTGCTACATGCTCCATGTTCCTGCTGCATAACTTTTGCGGAGATTTCCCCCAGCTGAGGGACACGCCCCCCACATTTACCCGCCTCCAGGGCCACTGTCATCGTCTGTGTGTGTGTGTGTGTGTGCAAAATTAGTGGCAAGAAAAAACGCCAAAGGAAAATGCAACTGGCTAAAGGTTAACAAGCGTCAGACAGGCCAGCAGCAAACCCTGGGAATTACCCAACAGCAAGCAGAAAAAAACTTATAATTTTCGGCCACCATACACAGAAACCATAAAAATGGCTGAAAAAGAGTCTGGCCAAAGAGGAATGTTAATGAAAAGCAAGCGTGAAATAAAATCATAAATTTTCCAGCGGGTGGTAGTGAAAAATGCAAGTTTTCCACAGCGCTCTTTGTTGTTCTGTTATTATATGGCATTTGTATGCACATGGGGACCAGATGGACGAGCTGAAGAGCCGGAGGAATAGGAATACTTAGAGCTAGAGCTGGGAATTGGACTCGGGTGAGTGCATTTGCGGTAAGCCCCCCAAAATGCATGCAATGATAATGTTATACTTGGCGAAAGTGCCAGTATGTGACAGTATGTGTGTGCGGTTTGGCTGGGATTTTCCGCCACTGAAGTCCTGTCCAGAGTCTAGACTTGGTCAGCTAAGCCGGCGATGAGGAGTTGTCATAGAAAAGGGGGTCCTGGGAATGCTGATGAAGTTGATGAGGGTTAGCATGAGCAAAAGTGAAAGATGGCCATGGGTTGGGATGAGATGTGTGTATTTAGGGAAAGTTGAATTAATAACACTGAGTCCTTGGAGGAAAGAGCTGGTTGTGTTACTTTTGCGCTAAGTCCTGTAATAGATTTGTATTTCTTGGTAGCCAATCGTCCCTCAAACAACTCCAAACCATCTTAAAAAGTAACCCCCTCTTAAAATATTTTTCAATGTTAAGCAAGCTTTTTGTGGTTCAGAACTTGGCTAGCTTACAGAGGCTTATTTAGTTTCAAACCTGTAATGTGCTTTTTCAAGGCATTCGTCACTATGCTGAATTACCCCTATATATAAAATACAAAATATTGAGTTTTAGAAAATTTTAACAGATTTATTCACATATTCATATCCTTGCCCACCCATTTAAAACAATCAATATCTATTTTAGAAAATTGTGTACATCTTTATTATTTGTTTAACTACTTTTTGTTGAATGTATTTCTTGTTTTGTGGTTGATGCTTTGCTTCATTGATATCTCGCACTGGAATTTTCTCCTTTTCAGCCTAGAAAGCGTGCTGCAACTTAGGCGAAACAAATTCGAGGCGTTCTTTGTTCTAAACATTAACTAATAAAATGCATAAATCTGTTAACAATTTGTGTGTGTTTCCTCTGCGCTTTGCTGGTGTGTGCTTACATAAGTAATTCGCTATGATTAATGCTAATCTGATTGTTATTGTTATTTATGCGATCTAGCTATAGCACTTCGTTATAGGAGTTAAAGCCAAGAACCGAGTAACGGCAACATAGTTCTGATCTTAACGCATTTTCGCTTTATATACTTGTATATATAGTATTCATGTGTGTATTCGTATGAATGCTGGTGAGTGTATATATAAATTCCATTTGTTGACAATTGCACAACAGTTAAAAGTATAGTAAACAATTAATAATAATGACTTTAGCTATGTATGTATGGCCGGGCCCAAATACGATTTGCACTATAATTTTTGTGTGTTGATTAACTTGATGTACTTTGTGTGTGATATATGCCTAGCAGTATGCAATAATTTCCTAAGTTCTGTAATTAGTTTTTACTTTCTTCGGTTTTATTTCATAATTTTATGTTTTTTGTTATGTTTGTATTTTGAGTCCAGCTACAAAACGTTGCATAAAGTTGTATAAAAGTTTTGGTATTTCCATTGTTTCCATTTGACTAGCGAGTAAATACAAAAACCCAATCGATTCGCAGTTGACAGTTGGTTCAACCCACACACATCGCATATATCTGCGAGTGTATATAAATAACACTATATAGTATTGTTAGAAACGGCTGCTATAAAATCACTGCCACAGTAGTGGCCATTACTTGTCCCCCATAAGACTAACGTAATCGTTAACTCTATGTATAAGTAATTCATAAGCGCTAATATTCGTTTAATGCAACAAGTCTATGTGGGATCGTCCTCTCATCCACCGTCGTCTCTATGGAGGCTTCTGCCACCTCCACTTCCATTTCCACCGACCCCGAACCCATCTCCACCATCCTCGTCGTCGTCCTGTTCGTCCTCGTCCTCCTCCTCGTCCTCGTCCTCGTCCTCCTCCTCGCCCTCGGACTGCTCGGATCAGTCGAATATGCAGACGAAGATGCGCAGACAGTTCATGCCCACCTTCTCCCAGCAACCCTCCTCCGTGGGCCGACCCTCGTGGGCCAGCCGCATCTTCTTGGGATAGTTCTTCGGACTGCTCCGGTCGCTCAGGTGCACGGGCATCCGGGCGTATTCGGCGCGGGGCTGGCGGAACTTTTCCATGAGCTCCGCCTGCTGATCGGTGAGGTTCTTTAGCTTTTTGCCTGCAATATAATAAAAACCATCTTGTTTTAATCACATTTTTAGAACCCCTTAATTTTCTAACTTATAACTTAAAAAAGACATTGCCTTAAAATGTATATTATTACTTATGAGAAAGAAAGCATTTTCCCTCATTGTTTTGAAAGCAATATCTTTACTTGCGCTTATCAAATTAGGACCCCTTATCTTAAGTGTTCAATGGACTTAAGAATTGGTTAAATCAATAAAAATTTTAAAACTGGTCGTAAATGAAAAAAAAATAAAAAGCTTACAGTCCAGTGAACGTGACAAAATAACTAATTTTTCAAACAAAAAATTATTCAAGATATTTAAATTTACATGATTCACCAGAAAAAATATATATTCTTAAGACTTACTTAAGTTATACAAAGTAAACAAATAAACAATGAATAATATAAATATAATAAGATTGGAAAAATATGGATTTAGTCACAACTTGAGGATATATTGATCTTAAAATTAATAAGCTGTATGTTTTTTATTTGATAATCATAATCTTAGAAGATTATATACATATGATATTTTATCACTTTCCAAATAATTATAAACCTAATATATTTTAATTTTTCATATATTTATAAAACAATTTCTATGCTTCTAGGAACAACCTACATCTTACTGAGCTGGTCACTAAACTGCGATAGATAAGACTAGGCTACTTTTACTTAGGGGGTTTACTCACCCTCGAGGGCGTCGCTGATGAGTGATATCTCAGTGGGTGGCAGTAGCTCCAGGCGATCGCAGCATCGCCGAAATTCGCTGGCGGTCATTCGCAAATAACGGGGCGTGAGGCACAGGGGTCCCAGGACAGTTCTCCGGTTCTCCGGAGTGGCATCGATGTGCTTGCGGGCGCACTCCGCCAGACTCCACGTGGCCAGGCACTCAAACAGGGTTACCTCCGACCTCAGCTGCAGCGTATCCCTTTTGGCCAGCGTCTCCAGCTCCTCGAAGCGCAGATCACTAATCTCAGGCATCGAGAGCTGGAACTCCGCATGCATGTCGATCAGCTGGAGTGTGTTGTGCAGCAGGGCAACGCCGTAGTCCTCGGTGGTAAAGGGATTCGGGTTGGGAATGAGGTTCACCTGGGCTCCATCGCCCTCCGCTCCGTTCTCGATGGCCTGGGCGGCCTTGGCAGCGGCTAATTGCTTGGCCGCCGCCTTCGCCTTGGTCGCCTTCTTCTTGGCCAGCTGCTGACCCGTCTCCTGGGTGGTGATCACCGTCTGGTGCTGGTTGGTCAGCGCGATGCCCTGGTAGAACCACAGCGCCTTGAAGATGTCCAGTGCGGTGGCACACGAGATTCTGAGATCGAGTTCGCGAATGCAGTAGATGATCTGGAACAAGAGATATATGATTGATATTATTAAAGGATAACATTAATCATACACCTTAGTAGTTTCATTTTATACGTTCTTAAAAATCTAAAAGTTGTATTCATGTTACTTGTTGAGGTACTTAAGACTGAATATATCTCTTATCAGAGACTCGAGAGATATGTCTATGTTCCCTGCATAATTCTCAACTCACCAGATCTGGAACGTTGAAGCGATCGGATAGCTCGAGTATCTTGAGCAGGTGCTTGTGGTCGCGATAGGGGATGAAGTGCTTCTCCATGTAGCGGACGATCAGCTCGAAGTCGTCCTTGTCCACGTTGAGTATCTGGAAGTGGTTGTCGCTCTTTCGTCCGCTGTTCGGACCGGCGTGGATCAGCTTGGCCAGCTCCACGCTCCGCTCGAGCACCGATTTCCTCTCGCACCTGATCATATACCGATCATCCCCGTTGACGACAATGAAGTCTATGTAGGGATTCACGATGATGGGCACGCCTGTGTAGATGTTGGTCTGACCCCGGGAGTAGGCGGGTGGCATCATGTGGGCGGGCGGGGCACTGGGCGCCGGAGCACTCTGAATGGCGTCCACATGGTGGCCATCGGGCCCAAGTCCGAACGGTAGCACCATCCTGTCCGGTTCCCAATCCTCGTTGTTGTTGTTGTCTTGTTGGTTGTTCCCCGGATTTGGGATATCCTTCTCCTTTTCCCTCTCCCGACGCCGCAGTGCCTTGTGGACAAGGGCACCCACTAGCGGGAATTTGGTGACACGCTTTTCCTTGACCAGCTGCTCCTCCAAATTCCCGTCGATGCGTCGCTGGCGGTATTTGTTTCCAGGACGAGGCTCTAGGCTGTCCCTGTCGTGAAAGGCAGTGATTTTGTTGGAGAACTGAAAACAGAAAGATGTATTGAGTTAGTTTTTAAAGATTACTATATTGGAAAAGTGATTCCCCTGGAATTCGACCTCAAGAAGAGAGCCCAAAATAAAAGACTATCAAATGAGAAAATAAACCAGCTACAAATCATTGGATTGATATTAATTTGGTATGTTAAAATATACCTCTTACTATTTTACTACAAACTTTTCCTACCTTGTTTATTTATTACATTAAGTCTGCTATATTAAGAAATAAGTACTGCCCAACAGTCTAGTTTCAAGTACTAAAGCTCAATGTGGCTTAATTTTAAAGAGCTTAAGAAATAGGGTCGTTCCTTGTCTTTCACTAGTTTCCCGAGGGAAATACCTTTTTTATCTCAACCAAACGGTGGATATTTACGACCCTTGCGAATGGGCAGTTAGTCATGCCGATTTCGCCACACTGGGAAATCTATAGGTGTTTTAATGGGCGTTGTAAGTACTTCCCGCCTGACTGATTGATTCATTGGCCAGCTTATCAGTCAATTGGCACACTTCAAAGCATAAATCGTTTAGTGGTCTAAACAGCCTTTAATCGCTGATTTTTGCACTCGACAATAAATTAGGCGTTCTATTTGGAAGTAAAGGCCGACTAATTAGCCAACCAGCAGAGCCCCAAGCCCATTTTAACCATCTTTTGGGGCCCGTTTCGGTTAGCATATGTTCTAATCGATTGATTGCCACCAACTCGGTTGCAATCCATCATACTATAGCTATAAATCATGTCCCATATCGAAAACGGGTGCACTGCTACCTGTTCGACAGCCAAATTTCGCGCGTGATGTTATAATTCCCCCAAAAATATCAAATAGTGATAGGGACTACCAAACGCAATGAGAAAACTCAGTGATTAAGCTAGCTTATTGACATATTAGTATTTCACACAGCGCGCAAGCCACATAACCAGTACTTAATCAAAATGACAAACACCTAATCGATTTGAACGTAAATTGAATTCCGTTTATTTTAATTTAGTTAAGTCTTAAAAGCCAATTTATTCAAATTTTAATGCTTCAGAAATTATGGCTTGTAGGCAAGAAAACTAATCAGCTTTCAAGTGTTTGCAGAGGTATTTAAATTAATTTTAAATTGATTTCTGGCCATGCCTTCAATAATTATTATTTAGAAGATATGGATATTTCTTATTTGTTGTTCCAGTTACAAATCAGTAATAATTAAATTAAAATGTTCACAGGCTTTTACTTGTATAATGTAAGGAAGATTAGGTCACGAGAACCTTAAAAGTAGGAAGCCATGAGGGGCTTGTGTATGATAAGATTGTTATGATTTTTTGATAACATATTTATAGAAAACAGTAAAAATTTCCAAGAGTTAAATGAATAATATAAATAAAATAGTAAATAAGTTTCATGTTAAATGAACTATTGTTCTATTAAAAAGAAAATATTTTGGAAGGCAATTTAAATCTTATTATACTCGTCTAATTCAAAAGCCTGCTGTTATGTTTTAATTAGAAGACTAGAACATTCTTTCTATGCCATATTATTTGCTAACGTGTGTTTCATTGAAGAACTCCACAAAGAAATATTTTTTTCTTAAAATGTAAACACTCATATCTATGCGTATTCCAAGGAGAAATGTTCTGAACGAAAACCTTTGTTCATTTGGAAAGTTTGATTTATAGTTCCAGTTCTTGTTATTGCCGTAAGTACAATGCACACAAAATTAATTGTGGCAAAGGGAGATTGCGAGCCTATTCGCAGGCACCATACCTTAAAAAGAGAGTATGTGGGGGAATATTTATAAATTAAATAAATTATATGACGATGTTTGAACAGTTGTAGGGAAGTCGGAATCGGTCTTGAAGTGTTGACGACCGTTGCTCATGGCTGAGATGGATACGGAACGAATAGTTAGTTCCCTGCCTTCGAGGGGGCACCGTAACGCCTAGTATTTAAATATTTACCCAATGAACCGCAAGGGAAACGTGTGTGTGACGACTTGTGATTGCTGATAGTGCAATAAATAAATTATCGTATGCAAATAAATTTATGGCCGTTCATCGCTCCACATCAGGCTTTATCATCTGCACAGCAACCGCAGTGGGAGATGGGTTTTATGCACAGCACAGGCATCGAATTAGCACTTGGGAGTCATAAGTTGCTTTTCTTTTGTTTATCAGCTTGCTCTATATAATATTATCGAAGGCGTAGGTGCGGTGTTTCCATTGTAAAATATCAAATTCAGACCCAGACCTTGTCCAAATTGGTTCTTGAACTTTACAGCTCACATGTCATTTGATTTCACTATCGCAAATTATCATTTATATCATGCACTTCTTACACTTTATTTGTGGTTCCTGCTTATCGACAAAAGGCCCGTTCCATCAATCAATCGAAAGCGATTTACTTTGGCTTGGCCCTGTCTGGAGATATGTTGGTAAAAGGCCTGTGCAGGAACCTTTTGATTTATACTTTTGGCGATCGAGTTTGGTAATAAGTTCTTATATTGTAAATCAAATCACACACTTATTGGTGGGTTCGAGTTCTGGGCAGTGGGCTCCCTACTTTCGCACGATTTCGAACCGAACACCACGAGTTTGAAAAATCGACTGCTATTCAATCCCATTTGCGAACTGCGACGTCGACCGAGTCGGCGACGCAGGCAGCAATTCTTGGGGTTGTTCGCCAAAATGCGTCATGATCGTCGCAGCCGTGGAAAATGCTCCAGTTCAAAGATAAATCTCATAACCCAAAGCAAAAAAAAACAATAACAAAGGGAAATTATTTGAAAAGTAAGGGTATAAAATATATTTTTAAATACCCCCCCTAAAGAAGTCTTAAAGAATTCGAATGTTTTTAATATTACATTCAGAGATGATAAGTATTATAATACAGCTGCTAAAAAACATTAGTGACTACACAATGACTTTCCGTACGATAGTGATATGTATATATTTATAAAGCTATAGCTTTAAAACAAGAAGGAACTCTTTAGTTGGATGTCTCGACTATCAGATACCCTTTACTCTCTTAACCTATTTATGCTTACTTTATAGAAATAAATATTATCAATAACTATGTAGCTTTTATGTCTTTTAGGACCTCACATTCATACGGTTAGACAAACATGGCTAGATCGACTTGGCAAATTATCCTCATTAGAAAAGCATAACCAAAAATTGTAACGAATTCATTATACCTCATAATAAAATTAAGAAAAATAAATGAATGAAAACGAATAAAATACTTTTACATAAGTATACAAACATTTATATTTTTAATTTCCTTCGAAAAACAACTTATAAATCCACTTAAATACTATTAATGCACCCATAAAAGTTAGAGCTGCCCGCATTTCAACAGTCTTTAAAGTTGCAAAAACTCGAGGCAGCCGGGGAAAATGCAGGCCCAACGGAAATGAGCTCGAGCAGACTCAAGAATCATTCGAATTATCAACTCAATTCGGTGGACAAACTGTCGGGTAAATAAATCTATTTGTGTGCCCAAAGAGGCAAATAGCAGAGTTAAAGGGAGCACCAGCAGCTGGAGGAAGATTTCACTATTGGATGAACCAATTAGCACGCCGATTGTGGGTGGGTGGAGGATTGGATTTGAAATTGGAGTGGGTGGAAGGTGTGGGAGTGTCATATTTGACAACTGTAATTGTCACAGGCGCTGTGTGTACGCACGAAATTCGCCTTATTGATAAGCAATGCAAATAGCACAGTGGGAATAAAAAGTACACGCCCACACACAATCGTGGGTGTAAAAATAGTCACAAAGAGCAGTTCGCCAAGGGCCTAGTAGAGAAGCAGAATAGTTATTATCAGCGGCCAAGGCCAGGACAAAGCTGCAAAGCCGCTCGAGTTTGTTGTGTGCACAAGTATTTATGCAGCCAGCGAGGGTTGCCTCTGAAGTTGGGGAAGCCATCTGCCCAGAGGCACCACGATTAGATAAAAATTGTCGGTGGGTTTTTATTACTTTTTTTTATCGATTCTGTATCTACAACTTAAGAACTTTATGGGGTTTTTTTCGAACAAGTGATTACTGCTACACTTTACGAGTTCTAAAAAACTCTCTAATACCCACACACGAAGAACATTTCTATTAAATACCTTTTCGTAGCTGAAAGATATCTGTGAAAACTTTCCATTGAAAAACAATCCTAAATTAATATGCTCGAACAAAGGATTTTCTTCACATATATACACGTATTAATTTAAAATGTATTAGCTAATGGATATCTTAATTTATTAAAATAAATTTAATTGTATATTAAGTATATGTGATGCATTTTCTTAATCCTAACCTACAAACCAATGCGAATTGAAACATTTTTTAACCAAAAAAGATTTGCTAAATAAAAATTAATTCTGTGCGGTAAAACCTTAAGAAATACATTCACTTTAAAGTTGGTTAGCCGTTTCTTGAAGATTTCCCCCAAACTTCTCGACCTTCCCTCGCCAAGGCATAGGCCACTTTAATGTTTACATATGTATATTATGAGGGGCTGCTGGAGCAGCAAAGACTGCTAATGAGTCCCCATGTAAAGCGGAAGCTCCAGATGCGAAACAACATATGAAACCGGCCAGAACAACAGCAAAAACTGTTAACAGTTAGCACTCGGAGTTCGTCCCCCAAACGACCTTGACACTGGCTGGGTGGTTGGGCGACAACAGGGCCCACTGTACACGCATTTCCCCAAGATCAACATAACGATCGGATCGCTAAAACCCGTTTACGATCGCCGCCCGGAATCAAATATTTGCATTCATAAGGGAAAATTTAATTAGCAGCATCAACAAAATGGAGCAGAATCGATATTTGCCCCGAACAGGCGGGAGTCTTAAAATGTTTAATTAGTAGAATTTAGCATAATTACTCACATTGTTGGCTGCCGGTAAACAGCACGGAATATGCGTAGTTCAAAACAAACATTCGAACAAATGAAACTGCAAATAAACAGGCCAAAGAATGCCATGGGAAAGAACTAGGAACCTCAAAAACCGAAATGGAAGCATATCCAAAGCCAACCCATTGTATCCCAGCACAATTCGCTTCCTGATCTGCTGAAACTTTAAATTCCACCTGCAATTGCCTCACAGTTCAAAAATAAAACACTTGCCACATTCTACGGCGGACCAGGAAAAGTTCACAGCCAGTGCGATGGCTTCTCTATTTATACGATCCTAATGAGGTGGTTTATTAAAATTAGCCCATAAACAGAGAGCGAAAGTGTAAGTACGGCGAGATTACGAAACATCCAAAACAGCAGAACCCAAATTTGAATAAATGCATGCAATCCATGGAAATGAAAGAAACAACTGCAGCATCACATTCAATTTTTGGAAATATTCCAAATACATAAATAAAAATATAATCTAAATATAATAATAATACAATTTTATGGTGAATTTGTGAATTAAGAGATGTAAATTAAAAACCTCTAAATCATATACAAGTAATACGTGATCAACTTTACATCTTTGGTTTGTTTTTAGTAACACGCATATTAGCGTTTCCTTATGTTATCATTTATCACCTTATAAGGGTTACTGAACTCCCTAGTTGTAACACCCATAAAACAAATATTATAAGGTTAGATGTGAGAAAAGTCATATGTGAGATAGTTAGATCATAAAATATCAAAGGAAAACATTTAAATATTTTCTTATAGAAATCAAATTACCAATCAAGTGTTAGTTTTCTCTATAAGACATTAGCAAATTTAGACTGTAACAAATGCGATTTGGATCTTGAACTTCCCACTTGAAGCCCATTAACTGCAGTAGTCCGGATGGGTAATTCAATTTGCAATGGGCCTGCGGCATTGTGGCACCTCCAATCCGTGACTCCGACTGACTCATTCGCAGGGCCTTTGTTCTGTGGCTGGGGACCCTATACTATATGTATGTTATGGTCGCCATAGACACCCACAGACAGGACAGCATTTCACAACAGGAAAATGACATCATTTGATTTGATTGCTGGCATACCGAAGACCGTGAGACAAATACTATGGAATGGAATTTGTTATTTTGTCTTGGCTCGGGAAAACTTCATTACTCATCCATCCCCTGCAAAGATCCAGCAATTGGATATGATTCGACCAGGCGAAAATTACGAGCTGAAAATCGGACGAAATTGCTCTCTGGTCGTTTGGCCACGTGCCAAATAAACCAATATATTCAAAAGTATAAAAAGCGATTGAATAGCAACAATATTCAACACAGGGAATTCATTCATTAAATTTATAGGACTTAGACGGGATTTTAAAGAGAAATGGGAAGCTCTTAAAAGTTATTAAGATATTTTTGTGGGTATATTTACAAACAAATGCAAGATATTATTATATTTTTTAAATTTTAAAGTGTAATAAGTGGGGTAAGGTAATAAAAAACCGATTTAAAATAAAAAAATTAAGACGCATATTAAAAAAGTAAATATTTATTCTTTGATAGTAATGTAAGGCGGGCAATAAAAAAACAAAATTTATGCTGAGTTTTATGAAAGTGTTAACTCTCTAATCTCTTTATTTTTAAAAAGGCAGCATCGTACAATTATCCCAGATAATAGGTAAGAAAAGATACCGTGAACATAACGTTTTAAATATAACAACACAATTAAAACTTTCAGGTAGTCAAACAAAGGGCGACAAATTCAATTTCCCGCTGCTCTTGCAGAAAACCAAATTTTCGGGGAGTCCAAACTGGGGTTTCCTATTCAGCGGGACCTGAAGCTAACAAAAGCGATGCCTCCCGAAATGCAAACAAAACATGAAAACGGAAAAGTCGAAAAAAGCGAAAAACTCACCCCGACACGCAGGAAAATCGCTGGAGGTGGAGGGAAAACCCTACGCAACATGTTCCATGTTCGGCGGGGAAAACAAAAGAGCGGGTGGACAGGGGCTAAAGGAAAGTGGAGCAGCAGCGAAGGGCAAATCGGCAAGTAGTATGAAACAAATTTGCAGTCTCTTTCTCTGACAAAAGAAAGAAGAGACCTTTGCCAAATTCAGGGGGCTTGGGCTTGGTATAGGCCAATAGCCAATATCAAGAACGCGATTCTGGGAATTCGATTCTGGGGGGGATTGGGGTCGCTGGGGCAACCAGATAGGGCCAAGGGCGAAGCTGGGGAACGGACGTGAGTGCTCGTAACAATTGACAATGCGGCGTATGCGCGATGGATGCCCAGCTGATGATACAATGAAACACTGACACAGTGAACGACTTTCCCACTCACACACATAATTACACCCACACACACACAGACACACACAGGGACAGTCGGAAAAACTTTCCTTTGAACAGGCTTTCATTCGCCAGTGCCTGTGTATTTTATGGATACACAATTTATGTTGGCCAATTGCTCGCCTCTGTTTGTATACATCATTTCCACTTTTTGACTACTTGATTAATTATACACACCAACACACAGAAACTTACCCTAGTTTATAAATTTTGGAATAGCCAACTTTTAAGTTTCGAAATTTTAAATTTATTTGCCAATTTCCAGTTGTGTTAACTATGCACTTCCGCCCCGTTGCAAAACTATAGTGTTTACTCTATATTTTGTTTATGCCAATTTGAGGTCGCTCGCACCCATTGGATATACAGATATTTTGGCTATATAGCACTGAATCGCGTATACCTTGCCGATCCGAGAGTTTTGCGCGCCTCGTGCCAAACGGAATTGGGGAAGGCAGCCAACAACGACAACGTCTCCGCTCGAGAGCCGAAAAGCGTATATACAACAAGATTCGTACGAAGAGCGCCAAGCCAAAAATATGAAAAACAAACGAGACAGCAGGAAAACATACCAAATTTCCCGGGCTGGCGTTGCCACCGTACTGAGCCATGTCCAATATAGGGGTTACATAGGGTTCAGATCCTTCCTGATCCTTCAATTTAACACTTTCACTTGGTTCCCCCGTTGGAAACACAAATATTTTACCTAAATATAATACAGTTTTTTGAAATACTTGGCATTTGATAGCTAAACACCAGCCGTCTGGCAACTTTCCACCGGACCTGGGGAAAATTCTCAGCAGCTTTTCCTCGGACGGACATGCGCACGGGGACTTGGAGAACGACCCACAGGTCGTATGAGCAGTGAAGCAGACGCAACATTTTCGAGCGTGTGATAAGACAGATACGGGGACTTTCCCTTTCCGGAGCGGGAGAGAGTGGGAAATGGAAAAGCCAGGGAGAGCGAGAGTGCGTGGGCTTCTAGGGAGGCCCATTTGGGGCTCGGGCCCTAGACAACGGAGCATTATATTGAGGGAGGTAGGAAATTTATGGCTGTTATCAACACACTCCGCCTGGCCCGCGAGAACCAGCAACAAATATCGGGCAGGAAAACTAGGTCAAATCCCACCAGCCCGTTCGGAATGCTCCATCCGGAAAATGTTTTGGGCGGATTGGAGAATTATTTGAAATTGCCTTGGGTCACGATAAGATTTTACCCCTTCAACCGTTTATAAAGTATGTGTGAAATAACAGATTGGAATTTTAATGTCAACTATTCAAATTTTAAAAACCTAAAATCAATCACTGGTCGAAAAGATGATTGTTTGGAACATTCTTTGTGCACCATCTAAGGATATTGGATTGCTTAATTCTTTTCAATAATTAATAATTCATTTTAATGTATCAAAACAAAAAACCTCTAACTAGGTACTAAAACCTTTTGGAAACTTTAAATATCCAATAAGAAAGTATTCCAATAATAAATAAAAATAGTTTAATGCCCAACCTTTCAAAAGCTTCTAGGATCCAAAAGGCAAATACATCAATAATTCTATTAAACTTAGTTTTTGTGAAAAAATAAATGTACATTTTATTATTCGTTTGAAGGACTTTTTTAAATTTGACAATTTTTTACTGATGCATTGTTGCATATAGTGCACTTTTGAGGTGTGTGGTGAAACAATTGTTGGTCATGTCTTGGGGATGATACGGCAAATTTGATTCCGCTTTGGGATTCCGACTGGCCATCGGGCACACCAGAAACCGGAAGTGTTTTTCCGGAGTATGACCCTTTGTCAAATGGAATCGGCTAGAAAAGATTAATAACAGGAGACATATTCTCGGCTGGGAGGTTTATAACAGGAGGCATTTTCTCGGCCAGGGGAAGTTAATAACAGGAGAGCTATTCTCATTCACTTCCTAACTGCCGATGGGCGCACTAGTCTGTTCCGATCCGTTTAGGCGCTTAATAGCTATCTTGGCCAAGCCCTTGGAGCAATCCGTGGCTCCGCCCATGAGAACAAGGAAGAGTCCGTTGTGCGCAACCGAATTCCAAAGGCGCTCGATGGTTTTATCTAGTTTGGCGACATTGCGCTCCGCGCTTTCCAACACAAAGTCCTGCTCTGGCACGCGAATATTAGCAATTGTCAAGGCATTTTCCAATGCAACTTCCGTGACCTTACGAACGGCTTCCTTGGACGTGGAAACCTCGTGGACACGCACCGCCACGCTGTGATCCTGGGGAGATGCCTCTCCTGCCTTTTGGATGACATTCTTAAGATGAGGCTGCAAATCGCCAACCGTGACAATGGCCGTCCTCTTATCCCGCTTGGCCACATGGGCAAATAGGTTATTGCTAATGGTGTCGCCGCTGCAGGCGTTCGCCAACTGCTGCAATCGCTTTTGCTGGGTGAGAATCTCATCGCCAAACTCTATGCTGTTGGCCAGCTTCATCTTGACAAGCTTGAGCGTTGCTCGCGAATCCTCAATGGAATCGTGGCCAAAATCGTTTTCCTGGATTATTTCCTTCAGGAAGGTTTTGGCCAGTTGCTTCAGTTTGCTCTTGCGCCGTCGCACGCCGCTAATATTAAAGCACACGCTGGTGTCTATAACATACGGGTGCATCATTCGCATGGCGTTAAGATCCGAGTTCAAGGACTGCCCCACCAGGATGGCATCCGGGGGCAGTAAGTCGGACACCTCTTTCTGCACTTCCTTTAGCTTCTTGGTCACCTTTTTCATGATATCTTCAGTGATGCCGGAGTACTGGGTTAGATAGTCGGTTATCCGGTTGTTAGGCATCACCAGCGTTTCGTACACGGTCTCGTAGCGTTCGTTGACAATGGAAATTCGGGTAAGCTCATTCATGCCCGCCACCGTATGACACATCTCACAATCCACGCCAAACATGGGACTTCGATTGGTCACCGGCGCATACGATTTCTTGGTGAACCTAAATTCCTTAAAGCGACTGTGCAGATCGCCTTGCATTGGAATCGGATAGCCCTCATCGACCATTTGCAGGGCGGAAAGCAAGAGTTTGGTGCGCGGGAACTTGTCATCCTTATGCAGGTCATCCGGCACCGTCTCTTTGCTTTCAATCGGGAAGATGGTCTTTACGAACAGGGTGGGATCTTTGTTGAGCTCTACAGCCGACTCCAGGGAACCGTGCTCGTCTATGAGCTGGCGAGCCTGCACATTTGTGAGGGGTATCTGTGGATGCCAGAGTTATGTTTATGTGGTGTATTGTAAAAGGCGATCGGAGCCTTACCTTGGCTATCTCGTCGAGGATCTGACCATCGTCACGCGGCGGGAGCAGCATTTCCAGCTTGGTGTTGAATATCTTATTGGTGGCCTTGAACTGGCTCTCGTTGGTGAGGTAGTGGTAGAGCGATAGTCCCTCTAGTATGACCACCACGCTGTGCGACAGACTGAGCCACTTTTCCACGCTGCACCACCGATCCGGTCGGCAGGGACTCTTCTGGCCAATGAGGGCGGACATCAGCAGGTGCTGGATGTCGGCGAGGAAGATGGGCGTGCGCGCATGTTGTGGCGTCTCCAGGGAGGCGCGCTGGCCCATCTCCCGAAGCCTCAGGCCAGGAACATCCTCGATTTGCCTCTTGCGGCGCTTTAGCTCCGCCGACAGCTGCTTGTACTGCTCCTCGGTCAGGGAGCAGATCTCCTGGGGCAGGCTATCACCTCCGGCCTCATAGTTGCGGGTTTTCTTGGCCACCGGCTCGTCGGAATTGGCTCCCGTCTCTGGTGCTCCTACGGATTCCGTTTCCTGCTCGCCATTGCTGCGGACTGTGTGACGGTTGCGGGCTTTCCGCTTGCTGCCCACCTTGATGAAGCCGTCGTCCTCGTCCTCCGCCTTCGCAGCTGACTTCTCCTCCGCCTCGGCCTCCTCCGCATCCCGCTTCTTGGCCAGCTCCGCCTCGTGGAGGCGATCGCGGTCGTTGAGCTCCATCAGATTTGCCAGCGCCGCCAGCTTCTTCTTCTTCTTCTCGTTCCGCTCGTGCTGCTTCGCCGATAGCTGCTCCTTCATCTTGGTGCGCTTACCGTTCAAGCTGCAGGCGGGATTCAAAGGACTTTATTTAATTATCTAAATTTTCAGCAGGTTCGATTTGTCAACATGAAGATTTAACATGTGCACAAGTGTCAGTGTGACCAGGTGGAGAAAGGGATAGAGGTGGCGAAACATCGATGTTAACATCGGTGTCATCGATGTTTTCAAAGCACCCATCACTATTCGGAGAGCAAGAGCAGAAATCTTTTATCTGTCTTTTTTACTAACTTACGTTGTTGCTATCACTATCTTATGTATAATTCAATTAGTGTTGATCAGTTTTTAAGCTTGTGCACGATAAATAAAATATTTATACAAGAAATGGTAAATACAAAGTACAAGTTTGTTATAATCAGTTTTTACTGTATCAAACAAAATTAGTATGACCATAGGGTTGAAGTTTAGTATCAACAAAAAGGTGACTGCTGGGAAACGCACATTGCACGTATAGTTATCCCGCTCTGACGCCAGAGGGAAAGAGATGACAATAGTACACAACAACCGTTAGAATGCCGCGTGCTTTTGGAATTATTTGGAATTCGCAAAAAGACTGAAACTTACAATCTCCCAAAAATAAATGTTTAAACCCCCAAGTGATTAAATTAAACACTCCAAAATGTACACAGCAGTTAAGCCGCTCTCCAAATATCTGCAGTTCAAGTCGGTGCACATCTACGATGCCATTTTCACGCTGCACTCGAAGGTCACGGTGGCTTTGCTCTTGGCCTGCACTTTTCTGCTTTCCTCGAAACAATATTTTGGGGATCCCATCCAGTGTTTGGGAAACAAGGACATGGACTTTGTGCACGCCTTCTGCTGGATTTACGGGGCCTATGTGCACGGCAATACATCTTTGGAGCCCCTTAAAAATGGAGCAGCGCAGTGCCGACCAGGTAAGATTGTACATTTGTAAATCCCCCAAAGATTCCCTATCTTAAGAAAGGATTCTCCATTTCAGATACGATGGGTACTGTTCCCATGGAGAAGCGCCGCTACATCATCTACTATCAGTGGGTGGTTCTGGTCCTGCTCCTCGAGTCCTTTGTGTTCTATTTGCCCGCCTTCCTCTGGAAGATTTGGGAGGGAGGTCGTCTGAAGCACCTTTGCGACGACTTCCACAAGATGGCCGTTTGCAAGGACAAGAGCAGGACCCATCTCCGCGTGCTGGTCAAGTACTTCTCCAGCGACTACAAGGAGACCCACTTCCGCTACTTCGCCAGCTACGTCTTCTGCGAGATCCTCAATCTGAGCGTCAGTGTGAGTTACCCAACTATACATAGTACAAGTTACAGATTCCAAAAGAATTCTACCAATAACCATTGCTTATCAAGTTTTAAACCTAAAAATCTTGCTTAATAAAAAATCTAACTACCATAGAAACAACGGTGAAATAGCTAAACATTATTTACAAAATATTTTTACACATTTCGCTGTTTAAAATTTTATCTCCGGTGTTTTTCCTATTGTTAAATATTTATATGTGTGCTCTGCAAGGTTGTTTAAACATTTGCTTGACAATGTTAACTTCTTTCTAGTTTCTCTTTAAAGACATACTTATAACATTCCCTTTATATTACAGATTGTAAACTTCATTCTCCTGGACTTATTTTTCGGCGGTTTCTGGGCGCGCTACTGGCATGCCTTAGTGGCCCTAACTGATGGCGACTTTAATAATTGGAACAGTATCACGATGCAGGTCTTCCCTAAGTGCGCCAAGTGCGAAGTGTACAAGGGTGGCCCCAGTGGATCTCCCACCATATACGACCACCTGTGCCTGCTGCCCCTAAATATTCTAAACGAGAAGATATTTGCCTTCCTGTGGATGTGGTTCATTCTGGTGGCTGCACTGGTTTCCCTGAAGTTTGTGTACCGCCTGGCCACCGCTTTGTACCCCGGAATGCGTTTGCAGTTGCTGCGTGCCAGGGCTCGTTTTATGCCCAAGTTGCACCTGCAGGTGGCTCTGCGCAACTGCAGTTTTGGCGATTGGTTCGTGCTAATGCGCGTGGGCAACAACATCAGCCCGGAGATGTTCCGCAAGTTGCTGGAGGAGCTGTACGAGGAACAGTCCCTAACGAAAAAAATCCCGCCAGGAGCGGACGAAATCTAAGAGCTCAACATTGACACTTCATTGAATCTCAAGTTAGTCAAGTGCATTTACTTTATTTATGAATTACATCTATAGTAGAAGGCTAAGATGACATGCGACAACTATAATACATTTTGATTCCTATTAACGTTACCCATCGATATGTGCATATTATCGAACAAATTGTTAAGTAATCTAAACCTCATGCTAAGCGAATTATAGCATTTTCAGTTGCTCACCACATACTCATGTTTCTTATTAACCAAAAAAGTTTTTGACCACTTTCAATATCAAATGGTTTAAATTCGGTTAGAAACTGAATACTTTACTCATGAAAATTACTCATATGCTTTAAGAATTTATGTTAATCTCATGCAACGATTAAAGATTGGTAAATAACTTTTGTATGTTTCGGTTATTAAATGCATTTTGTTTTTATTATTTTAATCAATGCAAGAAAATGTTAGCATTCTTAAGATCAAAAGACTGAATCTTCTCGGACTGTCTTAGATTTTTCCTTTTAATAGTTTCTATTAATTGATTAACTATAACCTTACCAATATTCAAAAAGTTGTATATATTATAAGTTGAGACCTACCTTTGTGATCTAGCAATGCTGCGCAGGGCGAGTCTCGTTCTGGTCCACATCATAATGATTATCTGGTGCTAAAGGATAGTGGATTAGGGACCTCTTTGCACATACCGTAGAAAGGGATGTGGCTAACCGGACTGGTTGATTTGGTTTGATAGACAGGGCACAAACTTTCTTTGCTTGCGCATAAATTTTTATTGACCGAGTTCTGTGGGTTCATGGGCAAAACTGGTTAAGATTCCCGCTTCTTTTATTCGCTAATACTCACGTTATGTCTAATAGTAAAATTTTGATAAAAGATTTTTGATTTTTCCTAAGAAATATGCATGTGTTTTTCTGTTTTAGGACAGCGTGTGTTTTCTATTTTTTTGAATATTGTTCCGGTAATTGACGTTAATGGTCAAAGCCTTTTTTTATGGAACCATAAAATATCGAACAAAAATGTTTTTATTTTGAGTGCGCTGTACGAAATTTGTATAAAAAGTGATTTGGAAACATCTGAGTGACAATTAAAAGTTCAGACTGGGCCTGCTTAGCTAAGTAAAACTGCGAGCATTAACACATTGGATTGGTGGTTTACATAGTTATATTTTTTGCTTGGATGGGTGGGTGGTTGGATGGTTCGTTGCTCTGCGAATTCCCCTTCAACTTGCACTTTTCGACGGTCATTTCAGCTGACCGTGGCAGTTGCCGGGCCAGTTTTCATTAACCAAAAAACCTTAAAGTTCGAAACGTAGCAGAAAAGTGCAGCAGTGGCCGGTGGAAGTGGGTCGTTTGCCCGGTGATCCACTTTCCGGAAGCCCTTATAAGCGGTACTCAACCACCGCCGGCTTCAGTTGCCGTTTGCCGGGCGGATCGCGCGGAAGTCGTCGTCGTCGTCGTCGTGGTTATTATCGTTCTGGATTACTGTGGATATCGAATTCGGCCCTGCACTTGCTTTTTGTGGATTTTTGTTTGAGTGAATCGCTGTAACCCGAGGCTCCTTGTTGGCCAGCCAATTTAACAAAGTGCTAAACATATAAATAAAACCACAAGAAAGTGAAAAAATATTCTTCAGCGATTTTGGATGCGATAGATCGGTTTTAAAAATGTTCAGCGCCTAATAATATTTCAGAAAGAAGTATAAATTTGTGAAAAATGAATTACAACATGGATGGTATGTGTGATGCTAAAAGATATGAAAAACTTAATCTTTAAATGTTTTAAATGTGTACGTACAACTTGGATTACATTCAACAAAAACTAAAATGTTTAACACGTTCAAGTTTTTATACATCTTGTACGTTTCCGTACTCGTTGGCACTCTTAAAGCAAAGAAAGCCTAAAACTTTTTTTACTAGTGCAATTTTCACCCACGTCTCTTAAAATTTTAAGCAAGAAAGTGAATTCCATAAAATGGCTGAAAGTTCCAATTAATTTGGATCTTTGATCAGCATTTTTATCAAAATTATTATTGCGAAATTGCTGAAGAGGCCGGAAAGTGCTGACCCAAATAAAAAACAAATTTACTTATGTATGTTGGAAATAAAAGTATGTAAACTACATTTTTAAAAGAATTGGAGTAGAGACAAAAACTCTGCAAGTTAACAAATTAATAATTATGCAATTTATTGATAAAGAAGTGACTAGTTATTCACTTGACGAGTGAAGATGTGAAAGACAGTGCATAAAGATTTTTAAAAAAAATATAATTTAAAGTTTAAATTTTAAACTCTTTAGAGCTGGAGGCCACCAGGTTGCTGCGGAATCCTCGACGTTGGTGGAGCATTGGTTTCAGCAAACGCATCTTGGCCATCTCGGTTCTGGTTATCATAATACTGCTTTTTTCCCTGATCTATCATGGTCTTGTGGTGGAGAGAATTGGTAAGATTTTTCAATATGTTATCATTTATAGGATACAAATATAATTATTGGTATCCCTATTTACAGATCGCGTCCGACAGATTGCCGCATTGAATGCCAGGCACCAAGTACTTCTCAACCAGCCCTTCGAAGAAGATCAGTCTGCTCTGATCATGAGTCCTCAAACCTTGCACTTCAAACTGCTCGACGAGAATATGAATAATCTACTGGTTGGTGAAGATAGCAAAACTAGAAGAAACAAGCACTTGAAGCGCATGCTGGTAAAGTTTCGATTGAACAAGAAACACCGTTCGCGTCGTGGGCTGCCTAGCTTGGATTTGTTAGATCCTGTCCGAATGGAGGCCAACCTGTATCATTTGTACTCCAAGCTGAGGAGCAAAAGGGCTCGAGAGGCTCTTAGCCAACTGGAGCACGAGTTTGTGCGATGCAAGAAGCAGACTCCGGAGGACTGCATGTCCGCCTTCCTGCGCATGTACAAAATGGCCAAAGAGGTGACCGAGAAAATGGAGAAGATGAAGGCCATCATGCGGGAGCAGCAGCCGAAATTGGAGTCTAAAAGCCTGGAGTCCTACGAACGGAGTGGTACCTTTCCTCCTGGAGAACTAATAAAGGAGACAACTGCAGCCACAACCACGGCAGGGGGAAATGCAACGGAAAAACCCCCGAGGACCAAGATAAAACCTGCCAGGATCAGCTGGATAATCGATGGACATGATCATTATGAGAACCCAGTTTACACACATGATGCCCCCAAAAAGGAAACAACCAAGGAGCCAGGAAACACCACTCAGTTGGTTGAGGAGACAAGGACACAAGTAGTAGTGGAAACCACCACCGATAGGTTAAGCGGGGAGAGCACAACGGAGAGGATCAGCTGGATTCTGGATCACTTTGAAAAGCCCCAGGAGATTGTGCGCACAACTGAGGGACCAGGTCAGCGAACCATTAGAAATGTATCCACCACAGCAGCAACATCCATAAAATCAGATCCTAAATCGGAAACGGAAACCACCAATAATGGATTCATTGATTGGATAATAGATGGTGAAAATGATGGAGAGCCGGAAGTCAAGTTTATTAACACAACGACAACCACTGCGACGGTCGGTACCAGTACCACTGAAGCCACCATTGCCACCACAGAACAGCCGAAAGTGGAGATCGATTGGATCATTGACGGTAGGGAAGTTGAAGAGCCCCAGGAAAATACGAATTCCACTTTGCCAGACACCACCTCTGAACCCACCGAAACCACTGCAGGACAGCGAAAGATGCCGTTCGATTGGATTATTGATGGGGAGGAAGTTGTGGAAACGCAGGATAACTCCACCATCACCTCAACTACCTTTTCTGCAACAAACCTGCCGATAAGTACAACAGAAGCCAACGAGAAGCTTCACAACTCCACTGCCCATCCCACCAAGCCGAAGCCGGTGAGGTTTGATTGGATAATCGATGGCGGAGAACCCAGCGGTGAGGTGAGCAGTAGCTCTACAAGCCAACCCAAGTTGACCACCAGGGAGGCTTTAAGCGACACGGAATCCCCACGATCCTTGCATCCACTGGACAACCCCAGCAGTATCGAGAATATGCTGGAAAGCTTTGAGCGCCACGAAGAGGAAAAGCCCATACTTAGGGTGCTGAATGACAATGAATCCTCCGTGGAAAACTCTACAGATCTTTATGGTCGTCAACTCTGGCTAAAGAAGTTTGAGGATCAGGCTAGGGCAAATCAAAACGAGCTGATAGATACCTTTGGATCGGGTTTGGATGCTAGGGTCCTGGACAAAATGGGACCAAAGGTCAATCCGTTCAATGGACACAATTGGAATGGTAAGTGTAACTTAATTTTTATGTGATGAATTAATCTGTATGTCACTATTTACCCCCCAGCTGCCGATGCCCAGATCCTCAGCCTCTGCGAGCAAGTGGCCCTGAAGATGCGCAACAAGGGGGCCCCCATGGTAGAGGCTGAGACCAAGGAGAAGGGCGAAACTTTCACGGCTTCACCCAGTGTTCAGTTCACGAGTCGAGCTCCTGGCGGATTCCCCGTTTCGGGTGAAACAATGAAGGCATCGGCCCAGTTCATGTTTAACCCGAACTTTGGCATGCCCAGCATACCCGTCTGCTTCTACATGACGCCCGCCAATTTCCGCATGCCCATGTGGTCCAACACGCCCACATTTATGGGCATGCAGGGTGGTCACTTTGGAGGCTCCTCTAATCCAGGCGGTGGCATATTCTTTGTACCGCAGCAGTTTGGGCCGAGCGGTAACTTTTTCGGAGGAAGTGGCGGATCCGGAGCCGGTGGCCAGGGTGCCAATATCTTCTCGAAGAATGCCTCGCCACAGAAATCATCCAATGGGCAGCAGCAGCCGGTCTACTGCAGCTACATGAAGAATCAAGCTGCTCCTGGAGCGGGACAATCGCAGACTTCCGGTCAGCAGCAGCAGGGTGGACAGACGACCTTCTCCAATGCCAATTTTAAGATGCGGCACGCCAATCAGTCAAGCTCCGGCCAACAGCCGGGGCAAATCATCTACGCCAGCTACGCGGGACTGCCACTGCAAACAATCCAGCAGCGATCAAAATGTCCGGAGCCAAACCAGGTGGCCTGCTTTGGTCAGAAAGAGTGCATCGACGCCTCGAGATGGTGCGACAATGTGGTGGACTGTTCGGATGGCAGTGATGAGTCTGCCTGCACGTGTGCTAATCGCGTGGATGAAGAACGTCTGTGCGATGGCTATGCGGATTGCCCCATGGGAGAGGACGAGATGGGCTGCTTTGGCTGTGAACCGCTGGCGTACTCCTGCTACGAGTATCCGGAGGAGTACGCTAGACACAATCGCTCTACGATTTCCATGTGCTACAATCGGCTGGAACGCTGTGATGGATTCATGAACTGCCTGAATGGTCGCGATGAGGAGCAGTGCAGCATGCTGGTCACCGATGTGTCGGATCATATGGTTGTTAATGAATATATCGATTTCCGAAGGGATCTTTTATAACAGGCTTTCTAATCTTTTTCAGTCCCATGCTGCCTCTGCATCTGAGGGCTATCTATACCACAACTATCGCGGAGATTGGCATCCTGTGTGCAACAATGGCGAAAAGTGGGCGGCTTCAGCCTGCGAGCTGGACGTGAAGGATCGGGTGGACCTGCCGGCCTCCTTAAATGTCACCTTTCAGGTCCTCACTCTTCCGGGTCCCTTTATCGAGCCATCTCTGCACGCCGGAGTTCATTTTGCTCAGGCTTGTCATGGACGCAATGGCCACGATTCCCTGGTGGATCACGTGGCCTATGTCAAGTGCCCACCGATGCAGTGCGGTGTGCCCACCAATAACTCGAAAACGGAGCACTCGAAGAAAGCGAAGAGAGCTGTGGCGAAGTCAAAGGAAATAGTTGGAGATGGACGAATCGTTGGTGGAAGTTACACGAGTGCATTGCGATGGCCATTTGTGGTGGCTATCTATCGAGATGGCAAATTTCATTGTGGAGGAACAATCTATTCTGAACGTTGGGTGAGTTGGAATTTTCATATTTAAATTAGCAACGTTAATTGTAATACATTTATTATTTCAGATCATCAGCGCTGCCCACTGCGTCATAAACTTTGGAAAGTACTACTACGAGGTGCGAGCTGGTCTCCTGCGACGTACAAGTTACTCACCCGCTACCCAGATCCAGCCCGTGTCCCATGTGGTGGTCCACCAGGCGTACGAGAGGAAGAGCATGCGGAATGATCTTTCCATGCTCCGCCTGGTAAACCCGCTGCAATTCAATCGTTGGGTGAAGCCCATCTGTTTGCCCGACAAGGGAAGAACTACGTTAGGGGATGATTGGATCTGGGGACCTGAGGAAGACACTTTGTGCACCGTGGTTGGATGGGGAGCCATTCGAGAGAAGGGTCCGAGCAGTAAGTACTTAAACCATTTTGCATATAAACGAGCTAAAATGCTTTTTGCAGGTGATCCTATGCGAGAGGTTATAGTTCCCATAAGGAAACGATGCACTGACCCAGAGGATCAGGCCTCGGAGGACATTTGCGCCGGCGATCCTAACGGAGGTCGCGATGCCTGCCAAGGGGATTCGGGTGGACCGCTCTTCTGTCGCAGCGTCTCTCAGCCGGAGGAGTTTTACCTGGCCGGAGTGGTAAGTCACGGCAACGGCTGCGCTCGTCCTAAGGAATTTGGGGTCTACACGCGGGTGACTCTATACCTGGACTGGCTCGAAATGGCTGTCAGACCGGGCCTGTTGCCCAGTCGTCAGCCGCTCCAACTCTGTCCAGGATTCATTTGCGTCTGGGGTGGTAAAAGGTGTATAGCCAAGCGCCAGCGCTGCGATCGTAGTGTTGATTGCCTCGGAGGTGAAGATGAGGTCGGATGTGCCTACAACTTTATACCAGATATGGTGGGTGGCGTACGACAGAATGTAAGCAGCACAACGGAGAGTGACTATCATCCTGAGGAGAGTAAAATGCGGGAGGTGATTCCTATTGAAGATTATGATTTAAAGGCGGAACAAGATGAAGAGGACGATTTGTGGGAGAGCACAACTTCCTCGGAGGGTTCAGAAACCACCGAAGGACAAATGGATGTATCTTTTACTGAAGAGGTTACCTCAACTACTTCAGGTGGATTATTTACAATAGAGGAGAGCACTGTTCAAAGTTCAACAATCATTGATTCATCCACCAATCCTTCGACTATAATAATCTCCACAAAGACACAAACAACTCTTCCATCTACAACAATGGAAACAACATCGATAACAATTGAGTCTAATATGCAATCAACATTACAAACTACTGACGCTCCAATGACAACTATACCCACATCAACGGAGGATTTAAAAAAGTTCACCGATTTGGTTACTATAACTATACCCACATCAACTGAGGACTTAAAAAAGTTCACCGATTTGGTTACTCAGTTTATAGAGAGTACTACTATTGGGACCACCAAGGAGATAGAGACAACTACTTCATCTCTGACCACAACGGTAGCTCCCAGCACAGTAACTACAGAAGGAATAAAGGACACTACAACCACAAAGGACTCTACAACCACAATGGACACTACAACCACAAAGGACACCACAACTACATGGGACCATACATCCACAAAGGACACTACAACCACAAAAGACACCACAACCACAAAGGACACTACAACGACAGAGCTCACCACAATTGGTGTCAGAATCACCACACCTCTACCCACAATCCCAACTACCATTGCAACCACTGAAAAGCCCGTAGAAACCACCACCACCACATTAGCACCAATCACCACTACAAAATCCGCTAAGACAACCACAACGAAGAGTAGCAGCGCTCATTCTCATAAAGATGACATAAAAATTCCTAATAAGTTCGTGTGCAAAAAGTGAGTTATCTTGGTTTTGACTTAAACTTTTTTACTTTAAGCCTAAATTTTTATCCACACAGGATGTCTCAAATTGTGGATATTATGATGCGTTGTGATCGCAAAGTAGACTGTGAAGATGGAACTGATGAACTGGACTGCACATGCAGGGACTATTTGAAGGGATCTCTGAAGGGTCTCATTTGTGATGGCAAGGCCGATTGCGAGGACCTCACGGATGAACAAAACTGCCGTAATGATTGGGACAAAAAATTAAAACTGTGTATTTAATATATGTTAACCATTTCCAGGGGACTGTCAAGCTCATGAGTTCCGTTGCCCCCTGTCCAAAACTTGTCTGCCCTTAAGCAAGCGCTGCGATAATGCAGTTGATTGTAAGTTTAAGGAAGATGAAAAGGATTGCTGTAAGTAGTTAATATATCCCCCAATAATTTAAAAGAATTTTATATATTACTTATAACCTTTTCCAGTTGCCCTGACCAATGGCCACGATGTGCACTTCGACGTTCATCAGCAGCCCAAATTCAGCAGCGCCGGAATCTTCTCCAGAAACGCCCATGGCGTGTGGCGGGTTGTCTGTGCTCATGAGACGGGCTACCATGAGCACCAGGCCAATACGGCAAATGCAGTTTGTGCCCTGGTTGGCTTCAAGGGAGCCCACTACTTTAATAGTTCGGAATTCGTGAGCCAGCAGGAAATGCATTCTATAACGCCAGAGTTAAAGGCAGGCAGCCACAGCATGGTGGCTCAACTTCGTTCCATGGTCGGCGACAATATCCAATTGACAGAGAACGAGGTTATAATCCCCGAGCTGGGTATACCATCCGCCTCGAGACCAGAAAAGGTTCGATTGCTGCCCCGCAAGTGTGTGGGCATTTACGTGGAGTGCAATCTCCTTTCCAATAAAACCACACCTCTGAAAACCTTTAGTGCTGGACAAGCTGTCAAGGAAAAACCAATGGAGCAGGTTCCCCTACTCCAGCCCACCATCGAGACCCACAACACACCGAATGTGCACTTTAAGCCGCAAATTCCTGCGGTTGTTGTAAATAAGAAGGATGAAATCCTAGACCGCTTGGATAATCTCATCAAGAGTAAGAAGAATAAAACCATATTGGTGAATGAGCAGCTTCATGAAGCCATCGAGGAGTTGCACTGGCCCTGGCTGGCAGATGTCTATTCAAATGGCGATCTCTGGTGCATCGGAGTGCTGATTGACAAGCATTGGGTGCTGGTCCACGAGAGCTGTCTTTTTGGCATTGACCTGGAGACGCACTACGTCAGCGTTTTACTGGGCGGTGGCAAAACGAAACGATCGGCCCATAGGAGCAACCACGAACAGATCCGCCGGGTGAACTGTTTCGAGGCGGTACCAAAGTCCAATGTATTGCTGTTGCATGTGGAGCAACCAGTGCGATTCACCCACCATGTGCTGCCCACATTCCTGCCAGACAGGTGAGTTATTCACTTCTGCATAAAAATTTAAAGAACTAATTAAACTTACTGTTCTTGCAGTTCTCAACAAAGTCAGGGCGCTGCGAGGGACTGCATCAGTGTGCTTCATGACGATGCTTCAGGCCGCATCAAAACGGTGGCCATTACCCGGATAGACAATGTTACCAACTGCGAATCCTGCTACAAGCTGCAGGAAAAGCAGCCACCGGCGAATCTGATGCGCATGCTGAATGTGAGCGCCGAGGATATGGCATCCATTTCGGAGGAGGTGGAACTCATTAATGGCGTGGCCCCCACTGAGCTGCCGGCAATTACCAAATTCACCAGCTGCCATCAGTTTGGGCTGAAGAATGTCAGCGATTCGCATCACAACCCCAGCGATCAGGGGGTGCTGGTCTGTCGCGACTCGCACACAGGCTGGTTCCCCACGGCCATGTTTAGCTACAACAATTCCGATTGCCAAAGTTTTAAACAGCCGTTTGGCATTAAAACGTTGGAGATGGCATATAAATCGCTGCAGGATATTATAGGTGAATCGTTCGTATTTCGAAAGCTGTGCAAAATCTAATTTAAGTTCCCCTAATAGACAAGCCCAGCTGCAAAATGCTCCAGCCACCCCCGGAATGCAACACCCATCGCTGCCCGCTGGGCACTTGTCTGCCACAGACTGCGATTTGCAACGACCGATTCGATTGTCATGATGGCAGCGATGAAGATGAGACCAAATGCCGACAGCTGAAGCAGCGGTGTGCACCCGGCGAGATGAAGTGTCGGACCAGCTTTAAGTGTGTGCCGAAGAGCAAGTTTTGTGACCACGTACCTGACTGCGAGGACATGACGGATGAGCCTACTATCTGCAGTTGCTTTACTTATCTGCAGTATGTTTAAGCTAAGGATATTAAGGCTGTTTATCATAATGAAATTTATTTCTCTTCAGAGCCACTGATCCCTCTAAGATATGCGATGGCAAGCGAAACTGTTGGGACAAAAGTGATGAGAGCTCTGTACTGTGCAATTGCACTGCCGATCATTTTCAATGCAGTTCGTAAGTGACTTTTGAATACTTATGGATATAAGTTAAAGAACATTGCATTTATATTTAAAACAGTTCGCCTGGGGAGTGCATTCCTCGGGACTATGTGTGCGACAAGGAGAAGGATTGCCCCAATGGCGAAGATGAGCGGTATTGCTTTGGCATAGAACATCCTCTACATCAGCAAAAGAAGGATTTCTGGGCCAGCAATCAGCACACGTAAGTTTTTAAAATTAAATCTGTAGGATTTAAAGATATTTAATTAAACTTTGTTTTTTTTCTAGACAACCAGAGACAGCTCCTCAGTATGGTCAGGTTATAGAACAAACCTATGGAATCTGGCATACGAAATGCTTCCCGAAAAGCAAACCCCTGCAGGTCGATGAAGTGCGAGAGATATGCAAAAAGTTGGGCTACAATCCCTATAGACAGCCTAGCTATCGGTTAATTGATGATGAAGAAAACAAAGCTGTACATACCTTTGAGTTGGCGGATCGACAGGGACGCAGTTTTAGTAATGAGTCGCTGATGGGAAAGTACCGGGACTCAACCAAGGCGTTAATAATCAGCAAATTCTCCCCTCTTCAACTGAACGAGCGCCTCACGCTCTTCCTCAAGTCCAGCAGACCAATTGCCGAGTTGGTCCGGTGGAATGCCACCGATTCCAGCTTGTGCTACAGATTGGAGATCAGATGTGCCTAGAAGTCGACGATATACTACGTAAGTCGTCTATCTTTTCGTACTCTCGTAATTGTCCTTTTGTGCGTTTTAGTAGCAAATAAATGCGAGAGCTGTACACATTTTATTAATAACTTGGTTTTATTTTAATTTCATATTATTTTTTATCAGTTTGCGCTCGCATATGTTGCATATTTATTATTTCATTTGATTTTGTTTTTAAGCTTGGGATTTGGGTAGTTTTGCAATTTTAGTTTAACAAACGATTTTTTCGGTTTTATAAATGTAAAAAATTGCTTTTGTTTTTTTTCTTGCCAAAATTCAAACAATATAATTAATTAATGCACTTAATTAGTGTTGGGTTTCCTTTAAATTCGTTAAAAAGACATAGGTAATCGTATATTAAGATTAGTTGTTTGTTGAAAGAAGGTACTTGAGAATTATAAGTACTCGCACCTCATGAGAGTAGTTAAGCAACATTTTCGAAATAAGTTAATCTCTCGTGCGCATCGTTGGTAATATAATAATAGATCCGTATAAATAGTAGGGGCTTTAAAAAACGTTAACGTCTGTTTAGGGGAATGTATAAGAGTAACTAGTTAAATGTATTCATAAGTCTTTGGCGCTGATTAGGATTACGTTTTCGTGAATACTTCTAGGAGGTAATTAATCTATAATTTATTAGATAAACGCAAATGTTAGTTGGGACTTGGGTTAGGCAAAATACTTTAAAAGTTATTTGGTTTCATTTGATTAATGTCAAGATCGCTTTGTACAGTAAATAATTTTCATTTTATAATTTGAAATTGAATCACAAATGTCATTAAAGTATTATAAATATGCATAGGTAAATGCTTAGGCTAGAGTTAATCATTCCGAATGTCGATTAGTAAGTTAGTGTGCGATTTATATGAACCATATGTGCGTTTTCATACCCAGTACTCATTGGGCTTAAAATAAGTATGCATATGACAAGGAATCTTTTTCGCCTCTATATGGTATTGGGTATTTCCAAATGCAGCTTATACTATTGAATTGATGCAATCCAAACAAACGCCTTTCGGGTATGCAACGTAATTTATGACACAGCTGGGAGTACTGGGTATCTAATAGTCGGGGTTCTTGACTATATCATACCTTCTATTTGTGTGTAGTGAGCGCATTGAAAAGCGATGCATGTGTGTAGATTGTTGGTAGAGAGTAGAGTCCACTGATTGGTTTCTAGGATTGGGTTTATAGCACAGGCAAACAGTTTTCAACACAACCATTGACAATTCTAAGTGTAAGAGTATATAGGTTCGTAGAGTTCGGAAGAAAGCGTAATAAGGGTAAATTTTAGGAGCCCAACAGGCTTACTCTACACTAATTTTAGGCTTCATTTTTGTTCGTCTCGACTCGCGCAGGGCAAATAAATTGTATGTGATTCTTACATATCGTTTACGTTGTCATGAAACACAGCAGTTTATATATTTACATATCTAACATACCTACTAAATTACGCTTAGGATTTCGTTAACTTTACTAACTACGATGTCTCCATGAAATGGCTTAATTTCCGTTGCTAAAATCTTAATGGAATAGTTGGTGCGTTTTTATTTACAATTTGATTCGTTCTAGTTTTTCTCATAGTATAGGTATTTTAAAGCTTATGAAGAGTTAGTAGATTTCACTGGATGAGTTCAGATTAACTGAAAAATTGGACCGCAGGCATTCGGGAAAATGAACATCCGGGTACAGCTAATAACTTTCTGTTAATATGTGATGGTTAGTAGATACCTGTTCTTTTTTTTAAGTGGGGGCGATTTTTTCGCATAAATTTAAATAATTTTTAACAATTTTTCTATAGGTGCTTCCGCCTTAAAGCATCCAAGCCAAAACTAACAACAGTTGGTTCACTTTTTGGCCTAAAAGTATGCCTTCACTTTTAAATGCTAACTATAAGCCACCATTATTTGCAAAAATAAATTATACAACTCATACGGGAATAATAGTCAATAAATAATTCATATATTTTGCTAAAACTTGCACACACATTTTCCTTAGGCGTAAAACAAATCTCTCATTGCAATAAATAACTAAAAATTAAACAGAAAATAATGCTATCAGCTTTAAAACTGCAGGCGTCAGAATAACCTTGTGCGTTTTTGCAAATCGTCAAACTTTGGCTTAGGCTAATTAATTGTAAAATAAACAACTAAAACATTTTAATTAACATAAAGAGAAAAACTAAAGTTGAGTTTAAACAATATGTGATGCGTCCACCAAAACATTTCAAACGTTGACTACAACATTTCGATCACCTGAACTTCTTTAGCTAAAAGGCGGACTTTTATTCGTTTCTAGTTTGAGGAAGTTAAAATTAGTTTGAGTTTCCATATTCCCCTGTCAAGTAACTGATTTCTGAGAAGCCCTTAAGTTTATTTCCGCTCCGTCTTTTCCTCAATTAGGGTTGGTGGCGTATTTTCCTGGGTGCGTACCAGATGCGATGGCAATTGCATATTGAGTGGATCGTTGATCCTCCTGAGATTGTACTCCAACTCCGCCGACTTCCGCTTCAGATTGTTGTAGTGCTCCACATCAAACTGCATCTTCTTGGCGTTTCTATAGAGGGTGAGCGAGTACTCGCGGTTCTTCACGTCCTCCATCATGTATTCCTAAGAGGGTCGAAAATATTTTATTATTTATATTATTAAATATAATAATAACAAGCTTACCCTCTTGGTAACACAGTAGTAGGCATACATTGCCATTGTCGTTCCGTAGGTAACAAAATAGGTGACGGGCTCCATAATATCCCAAGAGTATTCCCACCAAGTCAGACGCGCCAGGATGCCAAATTGCACAGACATTAAACCTAAACCCATCCAAGTCATAAAGTTTGTTCGACGAGCTGCCTTTTTGCTCAGTTCTAGTTTTTTCTATTAAAGAAATATGATCACTTTAACATTTAAATATTATTGTTTGGTGTTTTTATTATACCTCTTCCAGTGGCTCGAGTTCGTAGCGTAAGGTCTCCAGTTCTTTGGCAAGTTGATTGCTCTTCTCCAGCTGATATTCACCCACATTGAATGCCTCGTAGAGCTGTACATATATGTACACATTTTTATTTTGAGTTCGAAGAAATTTGTTAAATAATACCTCACCTGAGCAATAACCTTGCGCACATCGCCCACTTTGTCCACTGATTCCACTGTGATCCTCTCACGTTTCGGTGGAATGACCTCCAGTGTGCGATTGTTGATTTGTATGCTGTAATTGTACGGGGATAAGATTAGTGATCACCTAAGAGATGGGCTGATTACCCACCTAAAGGAGTCATCCAGCAAGCTGTCGATGGTGCAGGATGAAGCGATTCGCACTCCGTGCCTGTTGATCACCGCAGCTCGATCGATGCCGCGGTCCTCAGCTTTGAGCATGGCCAGCAGGTCGCCAACGTTGTGGGAGATTGGTTTCAGGGCGAACTGGCAGAGTTCATTGCGACTGGGAAGCCGAACAGTCATATGTGGCATACCATTCACGTATTCCACATAGATGTCGTCTGGGAATAAACAGGAAATCAGTTGACGTTAGTTTATGTTTTGTAATTAAAGTTAAAGTCATGGTTCATTTTGCAAAAGACATTCCCAAAACTCGTATATATTTTTGCTGTGCAATTCTACACTCCTTTTGTTGTGTATCTAATCAACAAAATATTCTGTTGTATTTGTATGACAAGTTCAAATAAATGGAAACGTATTTTCCCAATCACGCCATTAAAAAAATATTTATAAAGGCATATGACAAATTTTATCGAAATATAATTCTTTTTTTCTGCACTATTTTTGTGTTGAAATAAAATTGCTAAAATTAAACCGGAATACAGAAGAAATTTATTTATATTTCACAACCATTTTTGTTTCCTGCAAAGGCATTGACATATTCTGTTTAAATAAATACTATGGAAGTAAATGTTTATTTTGTGAAATGTAATATTGATTTTCAAAATATAGTTTTGATTGTCTCAAAGGGTTTATCCTCAAGTGGACTTTAAAAGAGCCCTGGCATTATTGCACATTTTCAGATGGAGTTCTGCCTACTCTCTTCACTTCCCCAAACAGTTTCTCCATTCGGATGTGTGCCAAACTGTGAGGCAGTTTTCCTCGACTGTAATTAACCAAAAGCCACTCAAGGTTGTTCGCCAGCCTGGCTCAATTCAAATGCAGTTAGGCGTTCGAATTGCTTGCTGAGGCGTGACTCCATCAACGCCCCTCGCTGCAAAAGAGGCAACAAAGTCGGGCAGGAGAAGGCAGTTTAGGCTTTGAAACAGATGACACAGTGGATTTTGACAAACATTTCAATTAGCGGCATCTAATCGCATTCCAGGTGCTGCATCGCATTGCATCGCACGGCGGAGATGATAGTCATCTTCGAGCTGTGCGGCCAACGAAAAGTTTTCACTTTGTCGCATGTGGGATTTATGCAGCCATGAAGTAGCACAAACATATATTTATCTGTATCGCTACCACTCATGCAAGAAGCCACCGAATGCAACCACACGCCAATGCAGCCACCAACACAGCACTAACTTCTAATGAAGATTTTCTTCTCATATAATACACTCAGGAAAATTATGGGGAATATGGGTTAAGCTAACTGTGTTGTAAAAAGAAATATTATAGTAATCTTAGATACATACTCATAGATACATTTTATAGTTATACAAAAAGTTTAAGTACTGAAGATATAAACATTTATAAATATTATAATATTTATAGTGACACTGCAAAAATATATGGAAAAATATGTAAACAATTTTTTTAAATATCAAAAACTGTTTTCATTAATAATATTAATATAATCTTATAAACAAGAACTCAATGATACTTTGAAAAATCGTATATATGATTTAAAGACTTCAGGTATGGTGGTAAAGAGATAAGTTCAGATTATCTTATTTTCAACATATATATTCTGATTTTCTCCCGGTGCATCAGTTTTAATCGGCTTTACCAACTGGGCTTGATTGTAAGTGTTAGCTGGGTCTGTTCAACCCATTAGCAATTGTAGTCGGCGCCAAATGTGGGTAACTAGTGATGTTACTGTTGCTGTTGCAGCTTGGCTAACCGTCGAAGCCGAAGAAACCAAAGAAGAAGCCGTCGCCCATTGCTCGCTGCCTTCTACGATTATTATTTTCATGGACTTTGATTTTTTGGGATTTTAAACATTTTATGTTTTCTTTTTCTCTGCGGCGGCTTCTTCGCCTCCTCCGTAGGCTTCTTCTTTGGCTTTTATTGATAGTTTCAGATTTTTGTTTTAATTTTCAGTTAACTTTCAGATTTTCGCGCTAGCAGACGTGTGCGTCTTCTCTCGACGTTTGAGTGGCGGATAATTTGTGTGTACGTGGCAACCGAAAAACCGACAAAGCAATCAATGGAAACTATAACATAATAATCTCAATTAAGTGAGAAATTGTGAAACTATATATCAAGTGTGGTGGTGAAAATTGGATTTATTGGACTGTTATCGTGTGGACAGCAGTTGTTGAAAGGCACACACATTCTTCGTGTGATATATGAAGAGGACAGATACCATCCGAAAAAGTTTAATTTACAAACTATGACAGGCCACAGCAAAATAAAATAAAGTTTGTGTGCTGCTGTCACTGATTTTGTTGGGGCACAGAAAAACTATATGAAACAACCTTCCATAAGGGATATATAGTATATAGTGTATACCCACAAGTTCTGAGCGAAACACAAACCACCGCAGACAGCAAACGTGCTAACATTGATAATGCCATGTCAAATGCTCGCCCACGGCAGCGCTTTGATAGGCCGCAACTTTGCTTCATCAAAACTTAATAGCCAGTTTCCGCATCCCTGCCAAAACAAGGCTAACAAGTGTCAGGCAACTCGCACAAAAACCCTACCAGTGTGGTAGTAGTGAGCACACAGTGCATGAGTGGGAACACGTGGCTGGCAAGCCAAATGAGGCCAGAGTTTAGGCCAGAACGTGGCGACCGCTTCCGTTGCCGGAAATGCAAGCGGCAATCAGCCCACAAATGTATAACAGTCGGCTCCTTTTTGCGTGTTACTCAATGTTAGAGTGTTGGAAATGCACAAGGGAAAATAAAAAAGACCTTTCATCAATCAAAACATTGTTAGAAGGGACTATCTTAAGTGTTTATCATAGTTAGTTTCATGGCCAATAAGGTTCAGTTTCAAAAGGAAATCCCAAACACGACAATGTGCCAAAACACACAACCTCTAGTTGACTCCTTTTAGATCCGTAGGATTTTGTATTTGCATAATCTTAAGAATATAATCTCTTACTATCTGTACTTACTGTATTTCCCTTCATTAATATATCCTCTTACAATTTTACTATGATAAAAAAAAACTTTACTGGATCTTTCTAAAAATTAATTAAAGTTCTCAAAGCATAGTAAAATACAAGTAATTTGCAACCTAACTAACAAGACAATTTAATTTAATATTTCGATTTAAATTCAATTGTGAAAATATAATAAAATCAATCAATGCATATTAATGGCTCTTAACTCACAGAGAACAATTTTTAAATCAATAAATAATAAATCAAATATTTGCTAATGGCCTTTGCTTTAATACTGGCTGAAGTAAAATATAGAAATACAAGTTTGTAGTAATTTAACATGGATTTATAGTTCTTTAAAGTTACCATTTTTCATAAATTATATTAAATAATATTTTGTTTTCTCTCTGTGAAAGCCCCATTGCCTGCAATTAACTGTTATTCAAATTTTTAACCCGACTTTTTCATTTGCTGAAAGAAATGCAAATAAAGGAAATGCCAGGATAGAGTCAGTGGTTTGGCAGAACTTCTAAGAAATAAACCCAGCACTTAAGATTCGTTTTCTCGATAGGGCAACTGCTTCCACCCTTTGCCGTAAATAATATTTTTCTAGTTCACATCGCAATCACGAGAAATGTCCTGTGACAAATGTGCTGGAGATTTTCTGGCGGCCGTGATTTACATGTGTGCGAAAAGAATCCAAAAACTGAATATCTGAGACGAGTGTAGGTGCGTGTGTCTGTGCATGAGCATTGCATGATTACATGGCACCGTCCTGTGCCTTCGTCCTTGCCCCTCAAAACCCCCTCCCACCAACCTGCAACGCCAGCAAAAATTGTCCTTTGTGCATTATTAAAAATTCCGGCAACCGCCTCGTGCTTGCATATTTTTTGTGATTTAATTTTTTCGTACATTCTCAACAAGATTCGCGTGCCAGGTTTCCCCCGCCAGCCCAGCCTGCAAGTTTGTGTGTGCCTCTGCATTTAAATCAAATTAAAATAAGCCGCACCCCAGACCGGCTGACAGCAACATTAAATAAGTGCATGCATAAAATATTCACCGAAAACATACGCTTAAATTAAACCTTAAAAAAAGGAAAAATCACGGAAAATTTTAAGGACACAGGAAGCGCAGGACCGAGCGATTAGCGGGTAAGTTTAGAGATGGATTGATGAGACTATAAGGTTTTCCATGATCCAGGCTATGTTTCTTTTTGACTTTCCTGATTACACTAGTTTACAAGAATTTAAACATAAATATGCATTATTAAACGTTGCTACCTATTTAATTTCATGTTTCAATGGTGTCGAAATGTTTTATTTTACTTAATATTCAGACAATTTGTACCAAACCAGATACTGAGCAGCAGGAAAGATATTTTATGCGGCTCAAAATAAATATTCAGATTAGGACCCTAACATTTTAATATATTCTTTAAAAATCATATGTGTTCAAAAGTTTAAATGACGTTCCCTGTTTAATGCTCTATAAAATATAAAACATGGTATCAATCTTTTTATGTGCAGCATAACCAACATTTTACCGGCAAAACGAATGTAAACTAGTGTTCGGGGAACAGAGTGGCCCCCTCGATTTACCTACCATTTTGTAGAACAGTGTTTTTGGGGGCAGGGGTCGTGCCGGAGTTATTTACGATCTCCCCACTGAACGCCTCCGACGACAAATTGGAACCTGTTGTTGGTACTCTCGCTGGACTGCAGTCTGTAGAGGTTGCTAGCCGTTCGACTAGGGCTTGTTTTCGGCCCGTTGCACTCAGTCCGAGGGCTCTTAGCCGCGTCCTCAGCTCGGTCAAAGTGAGTCGCGTGATATCTGGCATGATAATGATTGTGGAGGCATGGGCAGAGGCGCAAAAAGTAGGTGATGAAATAAAAAAGGAGATACGAAAAGAGAAATTAAACAGAATTTTCCACAAAAAAAGGGGCTGTTTGGCAAGAGGGCTTGGCCGGTGTAGGTGCAAAAATGACAGGTCCTGCCTTTCCGTTTTTTTTTTAAATAATGAATCAAAAAGCAAGCAACACAAAAAGGTGGCCCATGGAGCCCTTCTGCACACAAAAAGCGCAGTAAAAATGATGGCTCGTGCAGTTAACGCCGCAAAAATGCACATAAAAAAGCAAGTCGAAATTGTGTTTAACAAAATAAAAAGCACAGAAGGAAAAAACAGGCGTTGTGAATGGCGAAAAATGTTGATGGAGAGGCGAATAATGGAAGGAAAAGCTGGGGAAAAAAAAAAAAATAAACAGGAGCCTCTGGCTTGTCACAACATTTTCTTTATCGGACCAGGAAATGACACGCACTCACGAAAATAAGAGGCGGTGGAGTGGTTGTGCGAGTAGGCGTGGCCGTAGACCACCAAACGAAATGCAGGCCCATTAAATTTAATGCTATTGTCAGTCACAAAATTAACACAATGAATGGCGGGCCAGGCTCCAGTTTGATTGCCTCCAAAAGGATGAGCGAGATAAGATGGTTGGCGATGTGCAAAATAAGGCAGTGAATTTTTTGACATTATAATCAGTCTTTTGACAGTATATTTTGCAGATAAATGTTTTCATTTAAATATTTGTTGGCTTAAAAATTCTGTTTAATGAGATAGTGAATCCTGGGCTTCATTAAACAAATTTTTTAAAATTATTGTTTGTTGGATAAAATATGTAAATAACTCGTGTTCATTTTTTTTTATTGAATTCCCTAACTTTACTTTTTTTTAGGCCTGTAAGAAAATTGTTTTAAATGTATGCATATTTTTTCTTCGGATATAGATTTTTTATCATAGTTCTGGTGAAAATATTCATGATTCATATTCATCACATATCAGATTTTTTAAAGGATGTCTTACCATTAAAAAAACATTGATTTAAATTTGCTGTATAAAACAGCATTCAATTAAATCTGTATACAAAATGTTCACTGTTTAAAAAGGGATTATGTTTCGTTTAATAGTTTTAGCTTTCAAGCGCTTTTCAGCAAAAAATAATTTATAAGTTTCAAATGACCCACTTTTCATAAAACACCTAAACCGCTTTCAAAGGCATTATATCTAGTGCTACTAGCAACTAATCTAATTTGCTTGCAGCTCCTGTCTCCCTTTTGGCTGATTAATGTGGCTACAGTTAAACTTAATTCTGCGCCATCTAAGCGGATAAAAGCTCACCATACTGCTGCGCATTATTTAAATTAAGCAAGAACGAATTTTCCGATGGGAAAAACAAAACATGAAATAAAATGGGAAAACTTTGAAAGAGGGAAAATATGCGTAAGCCGAGGGCAAACAGATACAGATACACCCGCCCTTGCCAACATTCAGGCAGCCATAAAGCATCGATGCGCCTTTAAGCTCATAAAATATTTATGAAATTGCAGGACAGCAGAAAATCTTTTGAAATATCCCCTTTTATGTGGCCCTTTATTTGGGTGGCTTGTTTGTTTATTTCCAATGCCAACCGTAAAATCCCTGATTTTCTGAACCGAATAATGTATCCAAAATATAATCGATTTGTGCTTATTTTCACTTATTTTCACCGACTGGCAATAATTCTCAGCTTAAATCGTATACCGCTGAGCGTGACGACAATTAAGTTTGGTAGATAGATACATTTTGCAGCTTTTTTAGGCCCGCCAGGTATCCACTTAATTAATGGAAAAAGGCCGCGGAAAGCGCCGAGAGTTTTGCGGAAAACTCAACAAGCTTGGGTGGGGTTTTGTGTGTGGGTGAAAAAGTAAAAAAAAAAAGAGAGAGTACCACAAAAACCACAACCTCAACCGCTTTGCTTGGGCATTGTGTTTTTGCATTGTGCTTAGGCCTTTTTAATATTTTACTTGCCTTTGCTCCTATTTTATTCACCTTGATCCCATTCTGCGCCATAAGCCATAGGCAACTGCGGAGTTTGCACAATAATCCCAAACTGCGGGCCAAGACAAACAGCGGGTAACAAAGTGCAGGGATGCAGATGCAGATGTGAGTGCAGGCAACTTCAATGCAACTTGGTCGAGTGTCTGGCGCAGAGAAGTGGGCAATGCTTTTTGCCATATTTTTTCGGAGAGACATTCGCAGAACTGAAGGGCATAGCTGGCATATAGGAAATATTTATGACCCTGAGCACTACGCCGTATATAGTCCAAGGCAGTGGCAATCTGTTTTTAGAGACTCCATTAAAAATTGAAATATAAATCTATAAGTGCAGCGTAGGCCGGGCGAAGGTCACAGAATACGGCTTGTTTTCCATTGTGGGTAATGCATTTGTCATGTTCAGGTCTTAACTTTAATATTCTACCTATAAAATGTGAGGCAACAATGTTGCAGGGGTTTTTGTTTAGATAGGTCGTGAATTTTCCTAAGTTCACTTTGCTTTTCAAGACTTAAACAGAATGTGATAGGTAATTATATTAGGGCTTGCCACACAAATCACTCAGGTTTTGAAATCACTTTAAATTTAATTTTAGGTGAGTAAAGGTATGCTGTGAATATGGGATAGTTCTGAAAGAATTCTTTGCGATTAAAAAAATAAAATATATTGTTGCACACTTTTAGGAACTTTAAAATTACATTTTAATATCTTCTTTTAAATTGTATTATTAGGGGTAATATTTTAGCATACAGTTTACCATTTAACAACAAGGATTAGTAAGTAGATAATATTTTAGTTACTTTTTGACACACAAATATTATTATTAAATACAAATATTGAAGTATTTAAGCCTATTATCATGTTTCACAAATTGAGCAACAAATGCCTCCCAATTTTCCCAACAAATTTGAGCCAATTAAAGTTCAGCAGTGTTTTCCTGGTCGCCCAAAATCGATTTTCCCTGCACTTTATAATTTACTGCTTTTAAACACAATGTACTGTGCAAAGTATACGCTTTGATGCGTTTTCCTTTAAACCCAAAACAAACCCCCAGCCTCCGAGGAGAACTTTGCTCCTCACCTTGGACTCTGGACGCACAGGGCGGAAATTGTGATTTCCCCACTACTCTGATTGCCCCGGTGTGTACCGGCATGTAATTCCCGTTGTCGCTGGGAAAACAAGACAAGAGCAGATCTGAACCCCAAGAAGAACGCTTCGGTGAACTCTTTAAACACTTCACATGGCAACAACGAGGACATTGAGGCCGTCGAGTGGCGACACTTTGAGTGGGCCAAGTGACGTGTGGAGCCTCGAGGATGCTCCTCCTCGTCCGCCCACTTGGCCGCTCATTAAACAGATAACGCCGTCGCCATATGCTGCTCCCCATGTGTATTTTTAGATGCCTCGAGCTTGTTTAATTAATTGCACAAAGTTTACGCAAATTAAATGTCAAGCCGCAGTTTTATTATCTTTCACTTGCAGGGAGCCTGACCGCGCCCCATCCACGAAACTACTAAATATCAGAACGTCAACCTCCGAGTCCGGCACATTTTGCACGTCAAAATAGGATCCGGACAGAGTCACAGCCTCTGCTATGGCGGCACGATGGGCAACGGATATTTTCGAACGTCACAAACGTCGTCGTCGTCACGCCAGCGGGAAAAGCGGTAAGTGCCACAGAGCTGTATAACCATAACTACACTCAGAACTAGGAATGTAGAAAAGTTACACCACACCATAGCGATAAAGAATCATAAAAGTATCCTACATAAAAACAAAAGTAGAAGTGCCTTTATTTTTACCATCTATTACTTCCTTTTAAACATATAATCCCTTCCTAGTACGTTTATCATGATAAGTAATCAAAATACACTTATAAAAGGAGTCTAAAAGTATGCTACAAAAAAGTATCTTTATCTTTCGGCCATGTACCCATTTTACTTCAGTATTCAAAGTACATAAATAAGTAAAATACTCGTGAGATCCCTTTTTGAGTGATATCAACCCCCAGAAAATGATCGATGGACAAAATATTCAAATTTAAACCTTGATTTAGGTGCCTTTAACAAGATGTACGATTTATGTTAATGTTGACTTCAAATTGAATAAGAGCAGTTTATTGATTTTATACTTGAAACTTTGTCCCTTAGACAAATGGATAAACCAGACCCTAATTTGTTTTCCGAGTGTAACAAGGATTCTGGGTCAAGTGTCCCGGGGGAGGACGAGCTAATAAAATATCCTTGCAGACGTATGTGAAGGGAAGGGTTTCCGGGTAAGCCATAAAAGTTGCTGGCCTGTGAGTGACCACCGACCCATATCCCATCCCCCAGCCCATCATCTGTTTTTCTAATCAGCCTCAACTGGACATCGATATTTATGTGCTGCGGTTCAGGGGGGAAGCACATTTTGTGGGTGTGACAAATGGTCGCCTAAGACAGAAGGGTTTAAAAGTCAGCCATATAAGTTTGGTCTGATTTGGCAATTTCATCATAAAGTTTACGGTTTAATGAAGTGAATATTTGCTAAGAAAAGCTCAAGCCACAAAGGAGATAGATAAATATTTAACGTCAAAAATGACGTTTAAAGTGTTGACTGAACTCAAAATAAAGTTGCCAACTTTTCTAGAAAAAATAAAAATACTAAACGTTAAGTAAGAGCAGGAGAGCATTGAAAAATGAAGTTGAATAAATTTCCACGTGTTTTTGCTCAAGTCGAGAGGGAAAAGATTCATCAAAAGTTTCATGGGGGTTAGGGCAAAAAGCAAGAAAGGTCAGGAAAATCATGAGAAAACTTTCTGGCTGACAAAAAGATGGAAGATGAAAATTAATTCGTGAAGATTTTTGCAAACATAATTAGTGACCTTTTTCTTGACGATGACTTTTAAATCGATTTGATTTTCAAACTTAATTGGCGGCGCGGAAAAAACAAATAGCATTGGATGTCCGAGAGAAATGGAACACT